CTCTTCTCCCTGTATACCAACAGCTGCACCTCCAATCATCTGTCCGTCAAACTATTGAAGTTTGCGGATGACACCACCCTCATTGGGCTGATCTCTGGTGGGGATGAGTCTGACTATAGGTGGGAAGCTGACAATCTGGTGACCTGGTGTAGCCAGAACAACTTAGAGCTAAATGCTCTAAAGACAGTTGAGATGGTTGTGGACTTCAGGAAGAATACAGCACCACTCACCCCCATCACCCTGTTAGACTCCCCAGTAAAAATTGTAGAGTCCTTCCGCTTCCTGGGCACTATTCTCTCCCGGGACCTCAAGTGGGAATTGAACATCAGCTCCCTCACCAAGAAAGCTCAACAGAGGATGTACTTTCTACGGCAGCTGAAGAAATTCAACCTGCCAAAGACAATGATGGTGCAATTCTATACAGCGATCATTGAATCCATCCTCACCTCCTCCATAACCGTCTGGTACGCTGCTGCCACTGCCAAGGACAAGAGCAGACTGCAGCGTATCATCCACACTGCTGAGAAGGTAATTGCCTGCAATCTACCGACCCTCGAGGACCTGCACACGACAAGGTCTATGAGGCGAGCGAGGAAGATTATGGCCGATTTCTCCCACCCTGGACACTCTCTGTTTCAGCTACTCCCCTCCGGCAGAAGGCTTCGGTCCATCAGGACCAAAACCTCACGCCATAAAAACAGTTTCTTCCCATCTGCTGCTGGCCTGTTAAACAAGGCCAAGGGCTAACACTGTTTTTAACATTTGATCTACATAACGACACGTTGCTGATATTAACTATGTTTCCCTATTTGTATTTTTAAATTATATCTTAAAGCTATTCTATATTCGATATTTATTTAATTTTATATACTTCAGCCCCTTAGTGTTAGACTTTTAACCCTTATTATAGTAAGACTTGTTTAAAACTTATTTAAGATTTTAGATTCCTATATGTTGAATGTATGCACCATCCTGCCAAAGTAAATTCCGTGTCGGTGTGAACTTACATGGCGAATAAAACCCTTTCTGATTCTGATGTCGCATTTTCGCTTACAATGCAGTTCTTCCATTCGGGAACATTTTTCACAAAACGCGGAATGCAAACACCGTTATAACGTCGAATGCGTCCGTTATGAGGTGAAACTCCCGATGTTATAACGCGGTTTCTGAGCGGCTAACAATGACCTTGCTTCGAGGACTCGCCGTTTTCTGCACTCTCCACCAACCAGTGCTGTGGAGACCAAGTCAGAATATTCACCCTTGCCTCATTGACATGGGGAGTGGACTATGCTCCACACCACCCTCTGAGCCTTTCCCAGCACGTCCATTTATAAGAAAAAAAATCCACAGCACTCGGGGAAACGTCAAAAATTATCTCTCAGTTGACCTTTAGACATGAATTCTGTACAATATAACGTAAAGATGATGACGCAATTTGCTCAAATAACGTGCATCTTCTCAATAGAAACACGATAACGTAGACTGTCACAAATCACTATTTCTGGCAGTAATACAGGAGGAGGTGTTAAGATGTTCAAATACCAAATAGACACCCATCACAAGGAATCAAGTCCGCATTAACCACACATCATGCTTGTGGTAAAACATGCCAACAAACACACTTTGATAATCATGCATGCATTGTCTTTGAAACGACTTGGCAAACACCAGAGACAGCCTCCTCTATGGCCTTGTCTCGCCACCGGTGTTCGACCAGAGAACAATGCCAAAAGGCGAACAGCACCAAGGTAATACAATTGTCTCAGCAATCATAGCTCGGGTGGAGCAGTTATATCTACGGGACACGATTTGCCAGTCTAAAAATGATGAAAAAATTGGCTTCACTCTTTCTAGCAATGACACAGGAAGTGTGAAGATGACTCCAGCAAGAAGGGTCCGATAGATACGAGGCGCTTCCTTGGTGAGCCGCGGCATTTAAACATCTGCCGGGGTAACTAAGAGGTGGTGGCGCACGCCTCTATTCCAGAACTGGAGGCGAGGGTTGGTGGATCGCACAGACGTTGTTAGAACTCCGTTGCCGGGGGCGTTGAGGTGCCGTTCCCTGGCTCCCCAGGAGATGGCAGAGATTGAGTGTTTCCCTCCTCGCTTGCGTGGATTTTCTCCAGGTGCTCCGATTTCCTCCCACATGTAGACACTCACTAGTTGGCCGATAACACCTTCATACACAGAGGACCTCAGAGCTCGGGCGGTTGTAGGCGCGGGCTCATCGCGTGGCTGCCTTGCTGGCTCCTGGCACCTCTGAGTCTCCCTCCCCTTATAAGAGTCAGCGACTGTTGTTGGATATATAGGCCTTTTGCCAAAATTGATATTAATAATATTTGCCGATATTTTTAAAATAATAATCGATAAATAAATAAACACCCTCGAACCGACAAGGACCAACACCCAGAAGTCAAGCAGCTGGAGGTCGTAAAAGGCCATTAAATAATAAACTCCGGGTCAAAAGGGGGGATACAGACCCCCCCTCCCCTCACACACAACAGGCTGCCAGAAGATAAACAATAAAGAGTAATAAACCAAATCAAAGAGGAAAAGGGGGGGGAGGAATTACAAACGAAGCTCGAGGGGAATTCCAGGCATCAAGGACTCCATCTTGGAACTCCCAGACAATCCGACGCCACGCACAGGCGAGTTCTGGGGCAATTTTCCCCTTCATTGCTATTAATGCAACGGTTAAAGTTCAGAACTTAGCAACACATGAGTCGACATCATAAAGAATCCACACACTCACTAAGAAAAAACAAACTACAATCTACATAGCGGGTTATTACTTCACATAAATAATATTAACACTAACGTTATTCACCTTAAATTACATTACATCTTGCCGTTACATGACCTTGCAAAAACCAAGGAATATGAATGCTAACAGTCAAGAAGCTTATCTATTAAACTCAGGACATCAAAAATAAAATAAATGGTGGCTCAAGCATAACAACACGGATCCCCGGATACAGACGGGGGGACGAAAATTAATAAACCCTAGGAAGTGCGTCGTGATGACAATGTTAAATCACAAATCTTGGGAAACATAAACCAAATAATATTTGTGCAGTATTAAACCGAGGGTTATCCAGAAGAGATGAGGAGAGATAGGTCAATCACGTGACCAAGATAAATGTGTCCCAGAGAGAAAGAGAGCCTCCCGGCCGCCTTTGCATTCCCGCAGCGCGGGAGAGAAAATAATTTAATGCCAGAGCGAGGGAAATTACTCTTTATCGCAGGGGCCATCTGTGCCCACGGATGTGCGGTGACTTAATAAATGACACACACACGGACACGTACCCCCACACCCACAACACCAGAGCGAGATCAAAGAAAGATCCGGTCCTTTGTGAAAGAACATGACGGAGTGAGCATCTGTTTTTTTTCCTCTCGCAAGAGACGCGCAGAGGGGAGCAAGATTTTTCGGATAAAAACAGCGACAATTCAGCTCAACCATCAGCTCGTCAATTCAGCTCAGCAGCGACCAGCGGCAGAAGATGGCGACCATCAGCTCGGAAGAGGACAGCAAGCCAGCCCCGGGGCATGGCATCGAGATCAACAATGCGTGTGGTGCATCGCAGAGAAGAGGGGCGAGGTGATGCTCTGTGCTGAGTTCGGCATGGGCAGACAGAGTATCGCTGAAAGTATGCTCGGCGTCAAGCAATCCACCTCGAGAAAGGGCGGAAAGCGCCGAGCATCGATCAAGCGAGTATCGCAGAGGACCAACCGCAGCGGACGAGCTGCGAAAGCAATCGTCCAGCAGGAGAGAGAGCGCAACCAGCGCAACCAAACAAGGGTGCCAGCTGCCAGCGGCCAAGCTTTGTGCCGACTCGGCTCATCCAGCAGGGGAAAGAGCCTGCCCACCCGCCCGTGAGCAAGGCTGTCAACTGCCAGTGGACGAGCTGCGGGCGCTCTCTGACGACGGATCATCGCGCCCGACGGCGAGCGCCGTGCCAACTCGTCCAACCAGCTGTGGGTCGAACTCCGGCCGCCCGTGTGAAAGAAGGAATCCAGCTATCCGTATGATACTCACACTGCCACCGCATCACCTGGCGTCTTCTTGACGCAAATAATTGATCCAGAACACATCCCCACTCAACCCAATTCATACCACTCAACACATACGCGAATCATTAATAAGAAGCCTAATTATCAAGTACATGAACCATCAGCTGGCTGTGAAGGCATCGCGGCTCGCCGAGTGATGAGAATACGTCGTTTATAAGTAGATTAATTTTTTTGTGATTTTACTTCCAACCGCATGATTACCAATAGATTCATCGATACAAATTAAGCTTTTGAAATCTTTATCACAAAGCTATACGCTCACAGGGAGAATATCGTGTTAAACCGGTTTCTTTATCATACAATCTTGTCGACGAATTAATTAAAAGCTTAGCAAAAGATAAGGATCTCCCATGGGAGAGCACGTACTGCCGCACACACTTATTCCAAGACATCTCGTTAATATTATAATCTTGCCGATGAATCTATTGACGTATATTTGTGCCTTTGGGGTATAATAATTGCTTTTATCGCCTTTCGCATGAATATCGTTGGATGAATTATTAAGGACTTTTTATTCTTATTTGCCGTATATGCTCGTGTTACTCTGAGGAAGTATTCATTGATCTGTTACCCAATTAACAACGTTTGTTCACGCGGCAATTCAGATCTACAAACACCGACACAATTTCAACCGAGAAGTTGGCTTCAAATTAAGCAACCATTGGAAATATGTTCTAAATCGAACCAAACGTTAAAGGAATTTTTAATGGTACAGTATGTTCATTCAGTTAGTGGCATCCCAAACTCTCACGGTGGTGCTAATGTATTTTTGATGCTATTTGCGAGCTTGCACAGCTTTACATTTTATGCTAATTCCTTTGTCAAGGCGTCTTTTCTGTTTACCCACTCACAGCTTAAAGGAGGCGACCTGCGCTTGACTTTTTTTTCACTCCAACGCTGTCCTCTGGACAGGTTGGTCCCTTCACCTGATGAAGGCCACTTGTGTTGTGGTCGAAACGTCGTGATTTTTTTTACCTACGTGACTTTACCGAATAGAACCAAAAAGTAACGTGATTATTGAGGGTTAAATGTACGGATCAATGAGGGGAATATCGCCTGCAGTACTGTTGACAATTTCAAGCATAATAATTCACATTAGAGTGTTAAGGTTTTTGTTTAGAATATCGTGCATGCCTGTTTTAAAGACTCTCCCTATCACCAACTAAGCTCGTGTTACGCGGTGGAATTAATCATATGTGCAGTTGCCAAAGTGAAACAACGCAATCATTGATGGTTAAATGTACTGCTACCTGAGGGAAAATTCCCCGATGGTACTGTGTTGATTATTCCAAGCATGAGAGTTCGCATATTATAGTGTTAAGGTTTCGTTTAGAATTAAAATTGCTTAACACAGAAGTGTTTTGTGTTTCTTTCCTGAGTTCATGCATAATAATCTTAGTTATAAAAACTGTATCCTGCGTTGAGATTTGACTTTGGAGACCTGAGATAAACACTAATACATAATTAGTGAATGTTAAAGCGAGAATAATTGTATTATACCGATTGATAATACGAACCTAGACAACGAAGCCGAGTTTAATCTGGCATACTTACAGCACACCTGCATAACCTCATACAATTAATGGTCTTATCCCAATTGATAATACTACACTCGTCAGCGAGGCAGGGCCTAATTATCATAACGGTTCGCATTAGCATAATCACATACATTCGCATACATTAATACAATAATCTCTCGCAATTAGCATAATTTGTGCGCATAAATACATAAACTAACAAAATTTTGGATACTTACGCATTTATCCAAATTTCATTCAAAATTTTTTATTTTCATCAAAATTTTCAATACCCTGATATACAACACTGTGCACGTCACAAGTTTCAATTACTATTATTTTTATTGTTATTTTAAAAAATCTGCTTTTTTATTATCAACGGATCACTACACCAATGTCCCATTGCCACTGCCCACAATTCAATTAAGGCAGCTTCAGAGATGGGTTTCAGTGACCAGGGAATGTACTGGCACCACCACTGTTGGGAACGCGGCACCGCAGGTGGGAGAGTTGAATTAGAGAAAGAACAAATACTTTGATTGTTGCAGACTTTGCATGCTTTGCAGCTGGTGAGGTTATTTGCCGACTCAGTGAATGTCAATCCTCGTCTGCAAAGAGGGCACGCTGGATGCTGCCCATCAATGATGCAGTCTTCCAACTTTGAACTCCCTGTGGAATCAAAACAAAATTATTTTATTTTATGAACAGAGGTCTGCGTCAACTCACAGTTACAGCAAAGTGGGGAGGCACGTTAAGGATTTGAATTGAGCTGGGTTCTATGGGGTCGTCCATCGTCACACGGCGTCACAAAAAGTCAGACCCCCCTCAAATATGAAGCATATATAAAACATGCTTCAAATCGCTTTAAGCTATTGTCATTGTAGTGCGTATTTAATGTGGCGCTGTACTCTGATGTTGTAGGAGAAAACACTGGTTAAAAAGTCTATTTAATTAAGTAGAACGTGTTGTCTAGATATATTTAAAGTTGCGCATTTTGATGTGACGTCACATTTCTCAACCCCTCCCCTCGTCACACATCGTCACAAATGTCTGACGCCCCCCCCCCCCCCAGGTGCGTGACGTCATTATGGACGCCCACTGTGAGATTTAAGAGACAGCTCCACTGCAAATATAACAGCAGCAGTTACATTACAGCCTTGTTTGTGCTGGATACGGATTTAGAGGTCGGTAGTGATACAAGGACGACTTGGTACGGATGAACGCGCTGCGTTTTTTTTGTTTCCGTCGCTTGACCACTCGTAAGGCGACTCGACACAACGACTCTTGACTCATGAGCGCATCTTGATCATTCATCATCAATGGAGCCACTTCACGAGGCCTCTCCAACTAAAAAAAACGGTCTCTCATATTCTATGAAGAGGTTTGCAGCGTGCCAGTCATTAAGTGTGAATTTAGAAGTGTTAGCGTCCATAGTGGTGGCTGACCAAATAAAGTGAGGCACAGCAATTACTTTGGTGGGTTCTTAGATCACTGTTGCCTTGGCTGAAACGATGGTCTCACTGAACAAGCCAGCTCTGACCCAGGTTCATGTTGGGTGGCTGAGAACAGGAACCAAACCCTGGGACTCGGTGGCGCTGGCTCAGTGTCGCTGATATAGCCACGATAAACCCCCTGAGCTACCTGCCACACACCGAATGTTCTTGTGCATTCTAAATATGAAATTAAAAGAACGCTCTTGATTGAACAAAACATCAACATGGCATCGTTACCTTTGCGGCACAGCTGGCAGCAGATGTTGGTCTCGGTTCTGTAACTTCCTGGGGGACAGCCATCTTGATTGCCGTCTGCAGAGAGTGGGAACATCTGCACACACACAGCACGTTAACTCACTCACAGTCACACGTGAACCACGTTAACTCACTTACACGTGTAGCACGTTAACTCACTCACAGTCACACGTGTACCACGTTAACTCACTCACACGTGTACCACGTTAACTCACTCACACTCACACGTGTACCACGTTAACTCACACGTGTAGCACGTTAACTCACTCACATTCACACGTGTACCACGTTAACTCACTCACACGTGTAACACGTGTAACACGTTAACTCACTCACACGTGTAGGACGTTAACTCACTCACATTCACACGTGTACCACATTAACTTACTCACACGTGTACCACGTTAACTCACTCACACTCACACGTGTAGCACGTTAACTTACTCACACTCGTACCACGTTAACTTACTCACACTCACACGTGTACCACGTTAACTCACTCACACTCACACGTGAACCACGTTAACTCATTCACACTCACACGTGTACCACGTTAACTCACTCACACGTGTAGCACGTTAACTTACTCACACTCACACGTGTAGCACGTTAACTCACTCACACTCACACGTGCACCACGTTAACTCACTCACACGTGTAGCACGTTAACTCACTCACACTCACACGTGCACCACGTTAACTCACTCACACGTGTAGCACGTTAACTCACTCACACTCACATGTGTAGCACGTTAACTTACTCACACTCACACGTGTACCACGTTAACTTACTCACACTCACACGTGTACCACGTTAACTCACTCACACACACGTGTACCACGTTAACTCACTCACACTCACACGTGTACCACGTTAACTCACTCACACTCACACGTGTACCATGTTAACTCTCTTACACTCACACGTGTACCACGTTAACTCACTTATAATCAATGTTATGGAATGTGCGCCCATTCAACACTAAATGGCAGTCTAATAACTACCTAAATACAACGCCCCAATTAAGTTATTTATTTACGAGTGCTCGCCACCACTCATAAAACAAAGACAGCCGGCTGAATCACTACCTATGAGATCTTCACTCAAAACTGCTCTAGAGGAGTTTTACAACCCTAGCTGCCACTGCTATTCAGTGGCCTAAAATATGGCTTTAGATTTTGGTGTTATAATTTATTTACGTATTTTATTGTTAAAAATTCGGTCACAGTTCCTATGATCACTGTTACATTGCATTTATGGATTTTATTTTGTTGATTTCGAAAAGTTTCTTTTGTTTTGGTCATGTTTTTGTTTATTGTATACGGAGTTAGACTGATGTCCTTAATCTTAGTTGTCTTGTGGTTGTTGTTGTTATTTTGACTTGCATCTCACTGGGAGTTTTTTGCACACAGTGTTGGTGTACGGTGCTATTTCAGGAATATTTTTGATGTTTTTTTCCTGTATTTTCTGTTTGCACAGTCACATAATCACTTTAAGATGTTTTCTTGTTCATGATTTTAGTTTGTTGCGGTTGCACCCAATTCAAGAACCGAATGGCTCACAGGGCTATACCAAATAAATGAACTATGACTCCCGAAGTGAGCGGAGGGTGTGAACGCTTAACCCGAGCAATCCTTTAAAAACACAAAGATTCATTGAGGCAGCTCTCTTCTCTTTAGTCTACGCGTTAACTCCCTGCTACTTCATAACCGCTGCTCACCCTCTTCCTTCCAACTCCAAAACCCCTCCACATCCTGGCAGTGCCACCCCTCCCTATGATAACCCCTCCAAGTATCTTCCACTCACTCCTTTATTACCAACCAGTGCCACCCCCCTATCATTACCCAATGAACCCTCCACAGGTGAACAATCGCAATCACTCCTGTGAACACCACACCGCCACCGTCCCCTTATCGGTCACTCGAGCAGCAAGCACAAATCTGCAATCGATCCCCTGGCTAGGAGAGACCCTCGAGCATCTACAATACCTAGCACAGACAGACAGGTATTGGAATTGCTACCCAGATTGAGGGACCGAAGGTCAAAGCGACCATGCAGAGGCTGTGGGCAGCCGTTTTGAAAACACAGATTCGACTCTGAGCTCCATAATTCCGTGCTAATCCGGGCAAGTTGCAGCCCTGTAGACACAACACTTGTATAATTAACGACTTCCACGACGACTCCTGAATGGTGTCTTTTTCAACGGTTTAACTCAGGGGTCGGGAACCTTTTTGACTAAGAGAGCCATGAAAGCAAAAAATTTGGAAATTTATTTCAGTGAGAGCCATATAATATATTTTAAAAGTGAATTCAACTAAATGTCAGTATAATAAGCCTCTGAATTTATTCTTTTAAATAATGTTGTTATAACACTCACCATTAATGCGACTTCTGGTGCTGCATGGATTTGCTGATGTCTTTGTAGTCGGGTTGGTACTTGGTGAGGTTAAGCTTCATGCAAGCGTTGAGGCTTTCATCCGTTAAACGTGATCGTAGGTTGGACTTGATGTTTTTAAGATGTGAGAATGACTGCTCACATGCATACGTAGATCCAAACATGGTCAATACAGCAATACTCACACGCTGCAGTGTGTGGTATGTGACAGGAAGCGCGTTCCAAGTTTTGAGAATCAGCTGGTCTTCGGGTTGGAGTTTTTTCATTTCTGTCCACATGTGCTTGCTCGCCAACTCCGCTTTCTGTCGTGTGATTCTTTCCAAATCTTCATTCAGTGACTTGAACTTATTCACCCACATGTCTGAGGCCTTCAGTTCAGCCACTTCTGCTTCAAAATCTCTGACGGAGAGACCTGGGATGTAATTCAGGTCGGTTGTGTTCAGTGAACACTCGTTTGGATGGGTGATGAACTTAAAAAGACGAGTGTGCTCACGAAATTCTCCAAAGCGTGCTTTGAAGGACTGTAGGAGACTGGATGTGCAGCCAGCTAGCTGGTGGAGATCAAGGTTTTGAATGGGCTCACTTGCTGTGCATGCATCTTTAAATTGGCTCAGTTTTTCAAAATGTAGTAAACGACCTGTTTCAAGATCCGTGATGAAAAGCTCCAGCTTGTTTTCAAAAGCAAATACAGCTTGTTGAAGGGATAACACTGTATTTCCAATGCCTTGCATTTTCACGTTGAGCTGGTTCAGATGTTCAGTCAGATCTACGAGATAGTAAAACTTGAGGAGCCACTCGGTGTCGGCTAGCTCAGGATGCCCGACGCCTTTCATTTCAAGGAAAGTCCGGATTTCGTTCAGGCAAGCCGCAAAACGGCTAAGCACCTTCCCTCTTGACAACCAACGCACATTGCTGTGCAAAAGCAGACCAGGATAGTTATTTACAACTTCATCCAGCAGTGTTTTAAACTGGCGATCATTTAAGGCTCGGGCAACAATAAAGTTGATCACACGAATGACCAGCGACATCACTTCGCCAAACTGCCTGTCACACATCTGAGCACAAAGTGCCTCCTGGTGTATAATGCAATGGAAACTTAGGATGGGTCTATTTTCATGTTCACGGAGAAGCGCCACAAATCCTTTGTTTTTCCCCACCATACACGGAGCACCATCAGTACACACTGAGAGAAGTTTATCCATAGGTAGACTTTTTTCTTGAGCAAACTCCATGAAAGACTTGAATAAATCCTCATCTCTTGTGGACCCTTTTAATGGCAGAACAGCAAGACTTTCTTCGCGCAGTGTGTCACCAACAGCATATCTTGCAATCACGCTGAACTGTGACAAATGGCTCACGTCTGTTGACTCATCCAAAGCCAGAGAAAAGAACGGCGCTGCATTTATGTCCTTCACTTGCGTTTCCTCCACTTTGTTTGCCATCACGATGGTACGATCATGAACAGTTCTTGCCGACAGAGGCATGTCTTGTATCCGTTTGATTATCTTGTCTTTGTTCGGAAGATCATCAAAAAGTTCATTGGCTACATCCAGCATGAACGTTTTAGCATACTCGCCATCTGTGAATGGTTTTCCGTTCCCACTATTGCTAAAGAACCAGCAAAGCTAGCCGAATTATATTCACCTTGCCGGGTCCATACGCGGAGTTGCTGCTGGCTAGCTTGCACCCTGCTCAGAAGCTCTTGGCACGCTTTCTTTCTGCTGTCTCCCGCAGGGTATTTTGATGCAAAGGTAGCGTGGCGCGTGTCGAAGTGCCGCTTTACATTCGACCGTTTCAACGATGTAATTTTGTCATTGCAAATTAGACACACCGCAGAACCCGCTCTCTCCACAAAGACGAATTCTTCGGTCCATTCGTCCTGAAATGTACGATACTCGTCGTCTTTTTTTCTTTTCGCCATCTTCTTCGTCGAAGGGTTAGCTTTGAGCTAATGACCGAGCAGACGCAGTCTCAGACTGATTCAAAAGGGGGCGTTTACCTGTTTTACCCAGCAACGGCAAACGTAGGCCAGTATCATCCAATTAAAATAATGGACAATTGCTCCTGCAGCCCTGAACAGGACATGCGCAGTGAAAAATCGATGGATGGATTAAAACAAGTGAGAATATTTTGTTTTATCTGCGAGCCATATGCAATCATCAAAAGAGCCACATCTGGCTCGCGAGCCATAGGTTCCCGACCCCTGGTTTAACTTAACCTGATTCCTCTGTTTGTCGTGGTTAAATCTTGTAATCAATATTTCGTCCACTTCCCGTTGTCCAATCAATTCCACATTTTGCACACGTACTCAGATCCGGTGATAATGCATGCCTGTATCAATTAATTATTTCGCTACTATTAAGCAATTAAATTTTCATATGGATGCTTTATTATTTATATATATTTGTGTAGGTCAAAAACGCCACGGTCCCTAAACTGTGGAATCGCCTCGCACAAAACGCAGGCGCCGCGTGTCTCCGGCGCCATTGACGTACTTCTTGATCGAGAATTAAACGAAGTTGTTTTTATTTTTTTTTAAGTCGAGGTTTGCCTCCCTCCGATCCCGCCGCTGGCTGGCGCCGTACCCGCGAGGAGAGGCTGAGCAGCGACGCGGTCCGGACTCGAGGCTTCCCACACCGACCACGAGTCCTCCCCTGCCTCTGCTGATATTCCTCCAGGCGGAGCGACGCTCCACCTCTAGCCACGCCCCCTCGTGGAACCTTCCCGATGGTTCCCGAACATTCTCTCTGACTCCGCCCGTTACCTTTGGCCCAGATATAGTCCCTGCTCAGGATTGGATACCGGTTACACAATAGTGCCCACGCAGTTACCCCTTGGCGCCCACTAGATGGCGCTCTCTCATTACACTTGTGAGTAATGAATGTTGTGCCTGATGTAGGCTACACAAGGTGTATTGTGAATACCATGCAAAGAGTTTGAAGATGACCTGATGGGTTCACACCTCTCATCTTCTCAAGATTTTTTCCATTTGGCCCTTTCACGTTTTTACACTCGGATCCCAGTTTGTTCAGCATGGGAGCCGTCTAACGTGTGAGGCCGTGAGCGGTGGCTACCCCCTCACTCCGCGCTACTCGGCATCTGTGAAAAAGAGCTTCATAGGTCATGGGATTCCGCCACCATAAATATTGTGATTCTGATTCAGTTAACGTCCCTGGGCTACGCAGACCAACGGTGTCCACTGCATTTCTCAGAGTTGAGGCGAGCAGTGCTCATCCACAGCGAGTGGGGAAACCCCTCCAGTGGAGGATTTCCACGATGCTATGACAAGGACCGGGCTCTGCATACACCTCGTGTTGGCTTCTTGCTACGTGTGAAGACAAAGATCCCCAGTACAGATCCCCAGGATAGCTTCTCTAACCCTTTGCTCTTAGCGAGTAGCAGCGCCTATGGAGATAAACACGACGGGTTTGGTGGCCAGCACGACCACGGGCCGCCTTTGTCTCCCTAAGGCTGAGTCACAATGCAAACACAGACACAAAGACAAAAGATAAAGATCCCCCGTATAGCCTTAACAGACTGTAGGGGCAAGTGCTGTTAGCTAGCACCTATGAAGGCAGGAACGGTACACGAACGGGTGGGTGGCCAGCAACCACGCCCGACCGCCTTTGTCTCCCCAGTGGCGATGTTTACACACCGCACCAGGTGCTCATTTCAGGCTGAGTCGACCCAGTGGAGGCCCAGGACCGGTTAAGATAATCGTCACTGGTGTTGGCCGTGAGCGGGAATTGAACCCGGGTCGCTAGGTTCATAGCGTATCACGCTAACCGCTACACTACCGCTCCCCACACAGCTACACACACACATAGACACACACAGACACACACAGACACACACACAGATACACACACATAGACACACACAGATACACACACATAGACACACACAGACACACACACACAGTTTCAAGTTCAAGTTTAATTTATTAGGTATAGCCCTGTGAGCTATGCGGCTCTTGAGTCGGGTGCAACCGCAACAAAGAAAATATGAATCTACATTGCAGAAAACTATTACACCACAACCAGACCAAAATAAAGCTACAAAACAATGTAACAACAGACACACACACAGACACACACACGCATCCTACCAGCATGAGTGTGCAGGTTAGCAACGTGGTGAGCAGGCGGAATGGAGACATGGCCCAGGAGTTGTCCACACGGATGTGTGGATGTGAGCGAGAGGCGATGGACTCCCCTTGAGGCTCGCGTCGGGGTTCTCCCCCTGACTGATGAGGAGGACAGGGAGGGTGCGGCACGGCTCAATGGACTTTGAGTTCAATAAAAACGCAAATGGTAGAGGTCATATTCTTTGGGTAAAGTTACGTAGATTTTATTTGAACCGATTACCGTGACTTTACCGAAAGACCCAATGAATATGAATTCCTGGAGTCACGAAAGCTTTAAGTGAAGATTTGGTAGAGGTCATTACAAGCAGCCAGCAATAAACATCACTCACGATTGTGTAAAAGGTCAGAGTCAATATGCTTATTGAAGTAAGCAAAGTTGTACAGACATTGGTAGAGAGACAGACTGTATGGGGATCTTAGATGTTGAGCAATGTCAGGGAAAGAAGCAAACAGAGACGTGTTGTGTGGTGGCTGGACACGGTGTGAACGACACAGGCAGTGTGGAAGACCGAGTGGAAGCGGCCAATGAGCGTCGTTCATGGGAACAGTTACCAAAGTGACAGCGATAGAAGAGTGATACTGAGGTGACTGACTGCTGGTGAGGGAGTGAGTCAAGTGATTCACTGAGTACTGAATCGTTCATTAACCGGACTGCGTTAAGTAGAATACTATTAGCACAGCGAGTTAGGAACTGTGTGCTCCACCCCAGATATTATAACAGCAGTGGACTTTCGCCACCAATATTCTTCCAAATAAATAATTAAGTTATTATTCTTCTACTTCTGTCCAACCTGTATAGTCTTTGGCCAATATTCTGCACAGGCCACCACTTCTGGTGTTGGCATTGCCAAATCTTGAGGAGGGTAATGTGGTGCTGCAGGGCATCTCAGGAGAACATCCGTGGTTTGCTTCTCCTGACAAGCACATTGCTCGGTTGCACAGAAGCCCCGTGAGTTCACGAGAGGGTTGCAACTTGACGAAACCCACTCTCAGTCAGTGTAGGCTCCGCCATGTGTGCCATTTGCAATTGGAGCCAGATGCGAGCTCCTCACTGGGGATCATTCCTCGCTGGCTCCATTCAGCAGTTTTGTCACTCGATGTTGTCCCATTCTTTACACCAGAGGGAAGTTTTTGCAGATTCCGGCGATGTGGTCACTGGTACAGTGGAGCACAAAAAGCAGTTTCTCGATGACAGACGACGGTGGGCTGGCTGATGGCCATGATGGACGTCCCCCTCTAGGACTTGCCGGTCGTGGTCACCTGACACCCTCCTCCTGATGTTCGGGGCCGCTATGCCAGAAAGTGCAAATAGGCAGGGAACAGGGGTGGCTCTCAGGCACCCTGCTATGACTCTGCACGTGTCAGAGTGGTGTCGACATGTTGACTGTGGGTTGAGCGTCCCCAGGTAGAGCATGCATATTCAGCCACAGAGATACAAAGTGCTAAGGCCGTGATGCGTACTGTGGATGGATGTGCTCCCCACTTTGAATTTGCGAGCTTTTGCAGAATGTTGTGTTGTGTGTTGACCTTGGCTTTGGTATTAAAAGTTGTACTTGTTGTAGCTGAGTATACGATCCAGTGTTACCCCGAGGTACACTGGGTGACCCTGGTGTTCCAGGCTCTGGCCTCCCCAGGTGACATTCAGGTGTCGCTCTGCATCCCAGTTTCTCAGGTGGAAGGCAAAGATTTGGTTTTACGCGGGTTGGGTTTGAGATGATTATTTAGGTAGCATCTTGCTTGATATCTCGTCCAGTGCCCTCCCCAGTATATTCTCTGTGTTCTCGAAATTCGTCTGCTGTGTGTTGACACAGAGGAATTGCTCAACTCAACGCGTCCATGGTTTCTGTGGAGGGGCATAGAAAGACCACGAGGGGGGGGGGAGGGGACCTGGCGCTTGACCGCGTCGCGGTGTGGGGAAGGAATGTGCATCACAACACTAACGCCGTGTGTCACACTACACACACGGCGTGTCACACAACACACAACACTCACGCCGTGCGTCACACAACACACAACACACACGCTGTGTCACACAATACTCATGCCGTGTGTCACAGAAGTGTACAAGACGGTGCTGGATGGAGCTCTCTCTTGAAAGTGACAAAAGCTGAGTCAGCTACAGCCGAGTGCCTCGCATTATGAGGGGCCTCAAAATACGAAACAACAAAAATATGAAATATTCTTTATGTCATTCGGTAAAGTTTACGTAGATAGGTTCAGGTTAATAAAAGTAAAATAAATTAAAAACCACGACGTTTCGATCACAACACAAGCGATCGTCATCAGTGTTGTATATATAGGTGTTATGAAAATTGATGAAAATAATGAAAATTAAATGAAATTTGAGATTTGCATAATTTATCCGAAATTATGTTAATCAGTGTAATTATGCGCATAAATTATGCTGATTCGAGAGATAATTGTATTAATTTATGCGAGTGGGCGTGGTTATGATAATGCAGGTCGTTATGGATTATCAGGTCGAGCCTCGGTGACGAGGATTGTGTTATGAATTGGAATAACGCAATTAATCGTATGCAGTGACGCAGGCGTTGTGAGCGTGAATGAGAGAGAGTCGATTCGACTCTGCTCTTTAATTCCGTATTATCGATAAGAATACGATTACTCTCGATTGAACATTACGGATTATGTGTGTTATGGATTATGTGTGGTGATAGTGTGCTTATGATAGGTCCCCAGGATTCAGATCTCATACGCAGAACAATATTATGCAGAATTTCAGGAAGAATCACACACAAACCTTCTGCTTTAATCAATTTTATTTCTAGCTAACTTTAATTTTTGGATAATATGAAAACTCAATCTCGGGATTTTGGAATTTCAACACAGCGTGAACATGATACCATCACGATTACGTTGTTTCACCTCGATAGCGGCACCTGTGGTTAATTCCCGATGCGTAACGCAATCGATCGGTTGTTGAGAGAGAGATTAAAAACATGCGAACTATTCTATCAAAACCTTAACCTTATAATATGCAAACTCGTATTCTTGAAGGATTACACAACACGGCACTCGGTCTTTGATTCGTATCCAATCCTTAACACATTCTGATATGCGAAATTATTATGCTTGAAATCGTCAGCACAGTACCACGGCGATGTTCGTTCATTGATTCATCAACGATTATGCAATTAAAGCGTTCGACTGAAATAATTCTGATTGCCTCATCAACGTAACTCAATGGGTGGCGATGTTTTTCGTTATCAGCTAATAGTTGACGCAGTTATCATGAGTCTTGTATGTTTAATGGGAGGGTTGTTGATTTCTTGCGTTGAGCAAACGCCTAGGTTGATTTCCTTGTCAAAAAAAAATGTTTGTTCGTTGTGTAGCGGTGGGGGAGTGAGGAGGGGGGAGAGTGTGGGGGGGCATACGAACGACTGCCAGTTTCTGTCCACCGCTGGCTGGATGAGTCAGCACGACGCTCGCCGTCGTCGCGCCGATGGGTGTTGAGTGCAGGACCGCTGCCCTCTCAGCCCTGGTGACGCGAAGTTGCGCACTGTAGCACGCTGGTGGCACGCTGTTGGCACGCGCTGGTGCTGATGTTGGTGGCACGCTTGTGGCGCGCTGTTGGCACGCGCTGGTGCTGGTGCTGATGGCACGCTGGTGGCGCGCTCCCTCTCCTTGAAGATGCGCGAACGCGCCCGTGCTGATTCGCTGATAGCAGTTTCTCTCCACTGCTGGCTGAGCTGCTGCACGCTCTTGCTTGGCGTTGCTGGCCGCGCTCTTTCTCCTTGAAGATGCGCGAACGCGCCCGTGCTGATTCGCTGACAGCAGTTTCCTCCACTGCTGGATGAGCTACGCCGGCGCGCGCTCTTTCCGCTGCTGTAGCATCTGACGCTGCGCTCGCCGGCGACAGGTCAAGTTTTTCTTCTGCTGAGTGAGCCGAGTCGCACGCGCTCTCTTTGTTGAGGTTGTTGGCGGCTCTCTGACAGCAGGTTTCCTCCACTGCTGTATGACTCAAGTCGCACGCGCTTGGCCACTGGTTTGCTGAAGTTGTTAGCGGCTGCCCAAGCTTTTCCGCTGCTGGTTGAGCCACGTTGCACGTGCTTTCTTTGTGGAGATGCTCGAGCGCTCTCAGCGCTGATTCGCTGATAGCAGTTTCTCTCCACTGCTGTATGACTCACTTTCGTTGATACATCGCGACTCAGCGATCCTCGCTACTCAGCGAGACTCGGAGCCAGCCGCTCCATGCGACTGCTCGTCCTGTGGACGTCTTGACTCGCTGATCTGTCTTGACTCTTGACTTAACTTCACTGAACTTTTGAAAAATGCGGCTGACCGTTATATTCAAAGACAATTCTCTCTGCGCAGTGGAAAAGGGGGTGGCGGGGTCTGTGTGTGTGAGTTCGTGTGTGTGTGTACAGATGGCTCCTGCGATAACGATCTGTTTGCCCTGGCGTGAAATTCCTCTCTCGCGCTCTTCGGGAGAGACAAAGGTGGTCGGGAGCCCCTATCTCTTTATACTTTCGACTTATATTTCTCAAATACCATTTGGTCCCATGTTCGCCACGACTCGTGTTTGTAACTACGTCCTCCCGACACCTCTCGGTTTACCGAGGTTCGAAATGTTATGATGGAATTATTAAAAAGAAACATAATTTTCATCCTGAGTTTAAGAGGTCCGTTTCCAGATTGTTGGAATCCATATCCCTTGGTTCTGTAAGGTTCTATAATGGAATATCGTTTAAGGTTAACACGTTGTTATTAATGTTATATTGCAATTTCTTTAAAACTTGTTTGTCTGGTTGCCGTGTGTGGGGTGGGGTTTGTCTCCTCATCAAACCCGGCTGGCTTTTCCAGATGGCCCCTTGTGATAAGGTGTAATTCCTGCTTCTCCGCGCTGTGAGAGAGACAAAGGTGGTCGGGGTTGCTTGGGATGTTGTTTAAACTCTTTCGTAAGTTTGCCCGTTCGCCTCATTCCTTCTCGATAACCTTTGATGTGACTCGGTATTTTGTTTCCAAGCTTTGTTTTAACAGTAAAAGTATTAAAGGTGAAAATCATTTGATAGCGAATTAATTATTGGATAATAATTCACTGATGTATCTGGTGGCCTGGTCTTGATTGGAGTGAGCGCGAGGACCGCTAACTTTAGCTTATTCTTGTTATTGCATTTTAAATTTGAACTGTTGTTTTAAAAAAAAATAGTTTAACCCGTGGGCGTCCTCATTTCTGGCTTGCGGAGGGCTTCCCTCTGCGTGACCTCCCTTAGGGCACATCAAACTCTTGTTCATCTGGAGATCTTTGCAGATAGCTGCTAACATCCTCGCCTCGAGAGTTTTATTATTTCTTTATTTATTAATGGCCTGTTTATGACCGACACCTGGTTTTGCGTGTGCCTGGCTTACGGGTTTTATTAATTATTATTTTTTTCGTTTGTAATAAAAAAATATGATATATAACAGCAAATATTATTGTTAATATCAATTTTGGAAAAGGCTCATATACAACATCAGGAGGGAGACAAAAACGATCGCTTGTGTTGTGATCAAAACATCGTGGTTTTGTTCATTTTATTTTACCGAAAGACCCAAATAATTTTAATTCCTGCAGTCACGAAAGCGTTAAGTCAATAATATGAAGGTTGAAGTTTTACATAATCGGTAAACATAAATAAAGGCGATGTAGGTACAAAAAATAAAGTATCTAAACCGGTTATTATAATTCCCATGACAACACTCTACAGATGTAGGGGACTGCAAAGAGAAAGTGTTAAAGTGTCCACGTGGAGGTCGTGAAGAACGGGTGGCCGTAGTGGAGTGTCTATATAATTAACTAGCTGTACTACCCGGCTTTGCCCGGGACTTGGATCCACCACGCGCGGCCGCCTTTGTCTCCCCAGTGGCGATGTTCACACACCACAGCAGTTACTCGTTTGAGGCTGAGTCGACCTAGGGGAGGCCTAGGACCGGTTCAAATAATCGTCACCGGCGGTGGCCATGAGCGGGAATCGAACTCGGATCGCCGGGTTCGTAGCGGAGCGCTAACCACTACACTACAATGCGTTACGCTTCCACATGCGCGGGTCACGTGACAGATTTGACGTCACAGGTCACTTGCCGTGCAAAAACTATATACATTATTGAGCTCCCCGCCCCCTAAAAAAACAAAAGTTTATTTTTTATAATTTTTGCATGGTGTACAGTCTGGAAAGTACCCACACGGCAAATTGCAAGTTTTTTGCATGTCGGGAAGTACGCTAAACATTTTGAACAGACACACATAATCACAACTTTGCCTTTTATATATGGAGATGAATGAATGAATTCGTTACCTCGACGCGTCGTGACGATTGGAGTCACGTGACGCAGTGGGGGTGGAGGGCGCTGTCCAGTTGGGGGGTGGGGCCGAGAGGCTTTGTGAGCAGGGCGAGGCCGCGGTCTGGGCGCTTGCCCTGGGACCAACGTCTACGAGGTGGAAGACATCGGGGCCGACTCTTCACGGAGCTGTAGCTACGTTACTCCTAAGACGGTAGAGACTTCGCCTTGTTAGAGATGGACGTCCCCACGGAGCTTCTTGGCTCCTAGATCGGGATTCTTGAGCTTGACGAAGCCCAGGGCCCCTGCATTGTCATAACCTGGCCCTTGACAATGCAAGTACAATCGTGCGTCTGTTCATATTATCGTCTTTTTCTATGCATATTTAAATTGTCCGTGACATTAATTTCTATGTGCTGCGCTATCACTGAGCAGTTCATTCTTGCATTCTGATGTTGCATTGCGGCTTCTGATGTCCCTTCAATATCAGTGAACTCCACCAGGTGGTGCAACATCACACGTCATGCTCAGAATCTCGGACCCATTACAGCTGCACCTAAATAATAATTTTAAGAGTTTGAAGGAGATGAGTCGCGTAAATGTAACACGTGGGCCATCTTGCTCTATTTAAGACCGGAACCAGGAAAAGTTCTTCACAATCCGGGCAAAATCTCCTGATGAAGCTGGTTGGAATCACAGTGAAACGTCGTACTGCATGCAATGTAAATGTTATGGGTTGACTCACCATCAAACCCATGTGCTGAAGTAATAGCCGATCCATGGGACTTCCTTTGCCGGTACCAACGTATAAGAAGAGGTTTTTTCCCCTTTTTTCTGGCAACAAAACTGATCCTTATTACGAGGAATCGTGACTGCATTAACCACAATACTTGTGGTCAGAATGCAAACAAAAAACAATAAAAGAAAGCTGTCTCTGGTGTGGACCAATCAGTTTCAAGGACAATGCCAATATATTATCAGAGTGTGTTTTCTGTTTGCATTGTGACCACAAGTATTGTGGTTAATGGAGACATGATTCCTCGTAAAAAGTTTTCAGTTTGTTGTCAGAAAAAGGGGAAAGCCCAATTCTTATAATAGCTGATTGGCACGTTTTGTTGATGTAACAAACTTTACGAATTGGCTGTCAGGTGGTGGTGGGTTAACGACACATTTATTTTTACGCGATGTAACTCAAAAGACTTTATTACGAATACGATGAGTTACGTAAAAAAAGACAAATGTAACGTGCTGCTACGCTTCGTGCAGCCATCAATTCTCTGCACTGGAGAATCTGGATTAATCACGGGGCGAAGACTTCATCTGAATTCTCAACGCCTGCACAGTCGGCGTTTTGTGTCCCTCCACTCTAACGCTCTTAGCTCTCCACCTCCTCCTACACCACCTCCTCCTACACCTCCTCCTCCTACACCTCCTCCTCCTACACCTCCTCCACCTCCTCCTCCTACACCTCCTCCACCTCCTCCTACACCTCCTCCTCCTACACCTCCTCCTACACCTGCTCCTCCTCCTACACCTGCTCCTCCTCCTACACCTCCTCCTACACCTCCTCCTACACCTCCTCCTACACGTTTCCTCCTACACCTCCTCCTACACCTCCTCCTACACCTCCTCCTCCTCCTACACCTCCTCCTACACCTCCTCTTACACATCCTCCTACACCTCCTCCTCCTACACCTCCTACACCTCCTCCTACACCTCCTCCTACACCTCCTACACCTCCTCCTACACCTCCTAATCCTCCTCCTACACCTCCTCCTCCTCCTACACCTCCTCCTACACCTCCTCCTACACCTCCTCCTACACCTCCTCCTCATACACCTCCTCCTCATACACCTCCTCCTCCTACACCTCCTCCTCCTACACCTCCTCCTACAGCTCCTACACCTCCTCCTACACCTCCTCGTACACCTCCTCCTACACCTCCTCCTACACCTCCTCCTCCCACACCTCCTCCTCCTACACCTCCTCCTCCTCCACCTCCTCCTACACCTCCTCCTACACCTCCTCCTACACCTCCTCCTCCTACACCTACACCTCCTCCTACACCTCCTCCTACACCTCCTACACCTCCTCCTTCTACACCTCCTCCTACACCTCCTCTTACACCTCCTCCTCCTACACCTCCTCCTCCTACACCTCCTCCTCCTACACCTCCTCCTACACCTCCTCCTCCTCCTACACCTCCTCCTACACCTCCTACACCTCCTCCTACACCTCCTCCTACACCTCCTACACCTCCTCCTACACCTCCTCCTCCTACACCTCCTCCTCCTACACCTCCTACACCTCCTCCTACACCTCCTCCTACACCTCCTCCTACACCTCCTACACCTCCTCCTCCTTCTACACCTCCTCCTACACCTCCTCCTACACCTCCTCCTACACCTCCTCCTCCTCTTCCTCCTCCTACACCTCCTCCTCCTACACCTCCTCCTACACCTCCTCCTACTCCTCCTCCTCCTACACCTCCTCCTACACCCCCTCCTACACCTCCTCCTCCTACACCTCCTCCTACACCTCCTCCTACACCTCCTCCTACACCTCCTCCTCGTCCTACACCTCCTCCTCCACCACCTCCTCCTACACCTCCTCCACCTCCTCCTCCTACACCTCCTCCTCCTACACCTCCTCCTCCTCCTACACCTCCTCCTACACCTCCTCCTCCTACACCTCCTCCTACACCTCCTCCTACACCTCCTACATCACCTCCTCCTACACCACCTCCTCCTACACCTCCTCCTCCTACACCTCCTCCTCCTACACCTCCTCCTCCTCCTCCTCCTCCTACACCTCCTCCTACACCTCCTCCTACACCTCCTCCTCCTCCTACACCTCCTCCTACACCTCCTCCTACACCTCCTACACCTCCTCCTACACCTCCTCTTACACCTCCTCCTACACCTCCTCCTACACCTCCTCCTCCTCCACCTCCTCCTACACCTCCTACACCTCCTCCTACACCTCCTCCTACACCACCTCCTACACCTCCTCCTACACCTCCTCCTCCTACACCTCCTCCTACACCTCCTCCTACACCTCGTCCTACACCTCCTACACCTCCTCCTCCTACACCTCCTCCTACACCTCCTCCTACACCTCCTCCTACACCTCCTCCTCCTACACCTCCTCCTCCTACACCTCCTCCTACACCTCCTACACCTCCTCCTCCTACACCTCCTCCTACACCTCCTCCTACACCTCCTCCTACACCTCCTCCTCCTACACTTCCTCCTACACCTCCTCCTACACCTCCTCCTCCTACACCTCCTCCTCCTACACCTCCTCCTACACCTCCTCCTACACCTCCTCCTCCCACACCTCCTCCTCCTACACCTCCTCCTCCTACACCTCCTCCTACACCTCCTCCTACACCTCCTCCTACACCTCCTCCTCCTACACCTACACCTCCTCCTACACCTCCTCCTACACCTCCTACACCTCCTCCTTCTACACCTCCTCCTACACCTCCTCTTACACCTCCTCCTCCTACACCTCCTCCTCCTACACCTCCTCCTCCTACACCTCCTCCTACACACTCCTCCTCCTCCTACACCTCCTCCTACACCTCCTACACCTCCTCCTACACCTCCTCCTACACCTCCTACACCTCCTCCTACACCTCCTCCTCCTACACCTCCTCCTCCTACACCTCCTACACCTCCTCCTACACCTCCTCCTACACCTCCTCCTACACCTCCTACACCTCCTCCTCCTTCTACACCTCCTCCTACACCTCCTCCTACACCTCCTCCTACACCTCCTCCTACACCTCCTCCTCCTACACCTCCTCCTCCTACACCTCCTCCTACACCTCCTCCTACACCTCCTCCTCCTACACCTCCTCCTACACCCCCTCCTACACCTCCTCCTCCTACACCTCCTCCTACACCTCCTCCTACACCTCCTCCTACACCTCCTCCTCTTCCTACACCTCCTCCTCCACCACCTCCTCCTACACCTCCTCCACCTCCTCCTCCTACTCCTCCTCCTCCTACACCTCCTCCTCCTCCTCCTCCTCCTCCTACACCTCCTCCTCCTACACCTCCTCCTACACCTCCTCCTACACCTCCTACATCACCTCCTCCTCCACCACCTCCTCCTACACCTCCTCCTCCTACACCTCCTCCTCCTCCACCTCCTCCTCCTACACCTCCTCCTACACCTCCTCCTACACCTCCTCCTACACCTCCTCCTCCTCCTACACCTCCTCCTACACCTCCTCCTACACCTCCTACACCTCCTCCTACACCTCCTCTTACACCTCCTCCTACACCTCCTCCTACACCTCTTCCTCCTACACCTCCTCCTACACCTCCTACACCTCCTCCTACACCTCCTCCTACACCACCTCCTACACCTCCTCCTACACCTCCTCCTCCTACACCTCCTCCTACACCTCCTCCTACACCTCGTCCTACACCTCCTACACCTCCTCCTCCTACACCTCCTCCTACACCTCCTCCTACACCTCCTCCTCCACCTCCTCCTCCTACACCTCCTCCTCCTACACCTCCTCCTACACCTCCTACACCTCCTCCTCCTACTCCTCCTCCTACACCTCCTCCTACACCTCCTCCTACACCTCCTCCTCCTACACTTCCTCCTACACCTCCTCCTACACCTCCTCCTCCTACACCTCCTCCTCCTACACCTCCTCCTACACCTCCTCCTACACCTCCTCCTCCTACACCTCCTCCTACACCTCCTCCTACACCTTCTCCTTTTCTTACACCTCCTCCTCCACCTCCCCACTCTTCTTCTCTCCTGCACCATTCCCAGCATCGACCTCCTTAACTTCAACCTCTCCCACCTCATTCGAAGCTCCTGTCAAGTTCCAATAAACCGCCCCCATAATTGTCTGCACTCTCCCTTCATTCTCTGCGTCATCCCCACCACTCCTCCCAGTTTCCTTTACTTCCCCAGCACCATTTTCCCCCATTCCTCCACCCCCACCTCAATCTGTGACACTCTCCTCGACTCCACTCTTCTCCCCTCCACCATCCCCCCCGCAGCGCTCTTCACTTCTCCACTTTCATCCACCTCACTATTCACTCCCTCACTTTCACTCTCACCACTCAGTGATTTAAAACGCCCTCTACTTATCACAGCGTCTCTCCCAGTCGCCTCAGATTTTTTTTTATCTGCATCCCCTCCCTCCCCATCACCACCCCCCTCCATTCCACCACCCCCCACCTCGACATTCCTCTCGTCTCTTTCATTATCCCCGACCTTGTGGTCCACGTCAACATTTTTACTCTTGTCACTGTTTACCGCTCCATCCACCTTCCTTTTCATTCCTTCACTTTTAATCACAGCCATTCCTATTCGCTTAAGTTTACTCGCTATTGAAATATCCTTTTTCACTTTACCCTTTGCACCACCACTCTCAGTCGTCACGGTGTGTTCCTCCACATCGCCACTGTTCCCAGCACAATTTCCTCCAGTACCTCCATCCTCCGACTCAATCGGCGATACTCCACTCTTCTCTACTCCACTCTTCTCTACTCCACTCTTCTCTATTCCACTCTTCTCTACTCCACTCTTCTCTACTCAACTCTTCTCTACTCCACTCCCCACTACTCCACTCTCCATTACTCCTCTCTTCTCTCTATTCTCCACGACCTTTCTGTCACTCTTGTCACTGTGTACTGCTCCATCCACCTTCCTTTTCATTCTCGCACTTTTATTCACAGCCATTCCTATTCCCTTACGTCTACTCGCAATTGATTTATCCTTTTTCACTTTACCCTTTGCACCACCACTCTCAGTCGTCACGATGTGTTGCTCCACATCGCCACTCTTCCCATGAGCATTTCTCCCAGTACCTCCATCCTCCGACTCATTATGCAACACTCGACTCTCCTCCAAACCACTCTTCCCTCCTCCACCATCAACCTTCACTATCCTACTGGTTTCCACGTCACTCTTCTCCCCTTTACTCGTCCCTAAGCCAATATTCACGTCCCCAAGTTTAGTTACGTCGCTCTCTGCTCCGCTCATCGTGCCCCTACCAGCCCCACTCGAGTTTTGCGTTGCTCCGTTGCTGGCCTCACTCTCCCCAGCAGCACCTCCCCCAGTCCCTCCGTCCCCCACCTCAATCTGCGATGCTCCACCATCCTCTACTCCACTCTTCTCTACTCCACTCTTCCCTACTCCACTCTTCTCTACTCCACTCTTCTCTACTCCACCCTCCTCTACTCCACTCTTCTCTACTCCACTCTTCTCTACTCCACTCTTCTCTACTCCACTCTTCTCTACTCCACCCTCCTCTACTCCACTCTTCCCTACTCCACTCTTCTCTACTCCACTCTTCTCTACTCCACTCTTCTCTACTCCACCCTCCTCTACTCCACTCTTCCCTACTCCACTCTTCTCTACTCCACTCTTCTCTACTCCACTCTTCTTTACTCCACTCTTCTCTACTCCACTCCTCTCTACTCCACTCTTCTCTACTCCACTACCCACTACTCCACTCTTCTCTACTCCACTCTTCTCTGCTCTATTCTCCACGACCTTGGTGTGCAGCTCCACATTCTTACTCGTGTCGCTGTTCACTCCCACACCTTCTACCACACCTCTCTTCACTCCCCCACTCTCCTCCGCCTCACCGGTCGCTCCTTCACCCTCCTCAAACCGTAGACTCAGGCGGAGTATGGTTACCGTCCCCTTGTGCACGCACAGGGCGGGGTAGAGAGGGCCTGGGAAGGCGGTGGCATTGAATGAGTGCAGCCGCCTCCTGGTGTCGGCGCAGTAGAACGAGAGGAGCCCCTCTTCCCAACGCAGGTGGACGCCGATCTTCCTGGGAAGAGGGCGCACGGCCGCCAGTGCGCTGTGGAGGCCGCGGTGGCTCGCCACGTAGCCGCCCTCGCGTCTCCACAGGCACCAGGAGTCCGCGCCCGCGCCCAGGAGCCGCGCCTCCTCGCTCCCTCCGCGCGGCAGAGTGGCGCACGCGACGCCCACTCTGAACTGCTCCGCGCTGCCCACGTCCACCTCCCAGTAGTGCGCGCCGCTGGAGAAGCCCTCGCGGCACAGGGCCTGAGCGCAGTTCTCAAATCGCTCGGGGTGGTGGGGGTAAGAGTGGCGCTCGGAGGACAGAGTCACCGTCCTGAGGTCGACGGAGAGGCGGAGGTTGGAGTTCACGGAATTGGGGTTCACGGTGGGAGAGCACCTTTCTGAAAACAAAGAAGAACAAGAACAATTTAACACGTAGCAGGCTTTCACGACCAATAGCATCCATATTAGAGGTTTTGGGTTAGATCGCGTAAATATACAAATGTGTCATTAAAACCCGCCACCACCCGACGCAGCCAAATAGTAAGGGTTGTCACGTAGACAGAACGTGCCAATTCGTCCCTAGTACATCACACCGGTGTGTTGGAGAGCCAAGCCACAACAGTACTCAGTTTGTAAATGTTGTTGCTTGTCTCTCCAACACACCGGTGTGCTGTACTAGTGACGAATCAGCACGTTCTGTTTAGTGACAACCCTTACTAGTTGGCTGTTTCGGGTGGAGGTGGGTTTTAATGACACATTTGTATATTTATGCGATCTAACCCAAAAACCTCTTATGAACAGGAACAAGGATATGTTTGCATGCTTGTTGAACTTATTTTGCACCGTACATAGCAAACCATGCTTATCGTGCATATTTAGGTGCATATATGAAATTTTTAACAATGAGATATTTATTTTACCAGAAATCCATTACTGATTGTGGATAAATACCTAAACGATCTGGAATTTAGCAGCATTTCAGTCGTAAACGCCACCATTTACAGCAACAGCATTGACAGAGCGAACCGTTGTCAGAGCCACAGATGATTGAGACTTCATGCCCACCTTGACGTCTCACTCTCCTGACAACCTTCCTAATGGTGTGCTTCTATTTAAGTGGTTCGTCTCTTACCTGATGAGTGTAACATGGCGAGGAAGTCTCTTTCATTACTTCCAGTGGCTTCCATCACTACCTCGAGCTCCCCGTCCTTCTTTACACTTTTAACTTCCTTGCGGATGAACTTTTCACACATGCTGGGGTATTTTTCCATGTACGCCTTCCAGTAGACGTGCTCCTTGATGTGGCCCTGCATCAACATCTCATGCAGGACGAGATTGGGTCTCCTAAACAGCAGCAGTGCCCTCTGATAGCCCTCTGACTTAGACCCAGACGCGGGTTCTGGACTCTTCTCAGGAGCGGAGGAGACGCCACCACTGAGGGGTTGGGCTGCAGAGTGAGAGAACAAAACGCGTGGATGAGAATTGGTGCCTTAGACTCTGCCTGAGCGTGTTTGTGGGCATTCACGATCCATGACAGTGGATGATGAGGAAGGGATGAATCTCTAATGCAAAACCTTCAATTTCTTCTCCTTTTGGTGAATGATACTTTACACCTTTTAGCATTCTCTGGTCGGATACTGGTGAGACTAGGCCATGAAGAAGACTTTCTCTGTTGTAGGTCAATCAGTTTCAAGGACAATGCCACGTATTATCAAAGCATGTTTGTCTGCATGTGCACCACAGGTACGTGTGGTTAATGCAGACTTAATTCCTTAAAAAAGGTTTTTATTTTGTGTTTGAACATCTTAACATCTTTTTTATTGCAATTAACGGTAAAACATATTCTTATTTTTAATATTTGTAATCGTTTATGTATTTCGAGCCTAACCCTACAGTTTGGGAAATGTCAGAATCATAACCACGCTGTGGATTAAATCTGTGGCACTTATTTCACTGGGGAATGTGTTAATGGGTTATGTTTTAATAGCGTCTGACTGACAGTCATCTCTCACTGGGAAATTACCAGAACAGTTATTGAGAGCTTTCCATGAGGGTATAGTTAGATGTAGTCGTGTCTACTTTGAAGCGTTTGCTGATGTTTATTGTTCGTGTAATTGTCTTACATTATGTCTCTAATGGACTTCTACTTGGACTGAGAATATAAGAAAAGTGTAAACTTTTGGCAGCCTGGAAACTTTCTAAAATATTCTGTTTGATCAAATGACAGTAATTAAGTCTGTTTAAGGATAATGGCTTTTCTTAAGTATATATATACACACAGTGCAATACAAACTTTTGCATCTTTTTCATTACCATACAATTATGGAGAAAAACTTGAACATGATTGAGACTGAGCTTGTTCCTACCACAGTTTACATTTGGTGGTTATGAAATCTGCAGAATCCCACGATGACATCAAGCTCTGAATCGCTCTATTTATGGTGATGTTCAAGAGAACTGTGATACTGCACCTGACAGAGTGGGAAAGCCCAACATCAGTTACTGTTGTGTATATAGCAAGATAAACAAGCAGACAATATGCCTCCTGCACTTGTATCTAGGAGTGCATCACTTCTGGGAATGCCCGAATTAATCATCAGAGAGGGTCATCGTCTATAAATATCTGGAAGATCACCAGCACTGGTTCTAGCAAGCCAGACTGCTGATGAGACACCGAATGTCGTAACCAGTCCAGAGTTTGTGTGGAATCAATGCTGCTGAAATTAAGCAATACCGGAAGGCCTTGTCGCTCATGGGATGATTACAAATCATATTCACGGAGTAAAGTCAACCTGGATAGCTTCAAATAAAACAGAACTAAGACGTTTCGATCGCGATGCAAGCGGTCGTCTTCAGGTGACCACTTGCGATGTTATTTTCTTTGAACCATCTACGTGACTTTACCGAAAGACCCAAATAATATTAATTCCTGCAGTCACGAAAGCTTTAAGTCAAGATTACAAAGCACTTTAATATTTACGTAGAGGGACAAGCACGTGAAGGATGCGTGCTGTCTCTGCTCATTTATGTCAGCACTGATATTCTCCACAATGACGCGAATGGCTGTGTTGTGTTATTGTACACACGTGGACGTTGCCGTTTACAAATATGACCGTACCTATGGTGATCGATCCGCTGTGCAGCCACACGGCAGGATGAAAATGAAGCTTGGATGTCAGTGTAAAAGTGTGCAGAGGCGTCATGGTCTCGGCACAAACAAACGTGAGCTGCTTAATTTCAAAGTCCAGGTGAAGCCCGATTCGCTGGGGAGGCACTGGCGGGTTCAGCACGGTGACTTCTCCATTGTGAGCAGCCACGAGCTCAGCGTCGCGTCTCCACACGCACCAGGACGCAGCGTTGTGTCCCAGATCTTGTTCAGTTTTTTTTATTTTAATAAAATCCTTCACACGGGTGACACCGACCATGTATTGCTCTGCACAGCCCACGTGCAGCTCCCAGTAGTGGCGACCAGAGAGGAATTTCTCAGAGCACAGCACCTGGGGGTGTCTCACAAACCTATCCACGTGATCTGGGTATGGATGAGGTTGAGTTGCTCTCGTCACCGTCTTGAGGTCCGTGGAGAGGAAAAGCATCTCGTTTGCTGTGTTAGGGTCGTATGTTGGTGAGCAGATGTCTGTAACAATGAAAATAATATCAGCGCTGTTACTGAGTGGTTCCCAAACTATGGGTCGTGAAGCATTGGTGGGTCGCAAGAGGTACTGGGGTGGATCACAGAACAAGGCCCAGTGAAACATAACATTCGTAATTATACATTATTAATAATATAACGTTACAGTAATATAGGTAATGTTGCAATGTCATTTATGTACTTACCAGCCTGTCTCTGCATGTCTAGAAATGTTATCTTCCTGCTACTGAAGCCCTGGTAAATGTCCCTGAACTTCCCGCAGGCCTCCTCTCCTCTGTCTACCATGAGGGCGATGACGTAGTGTGCCCGTCGCGACGCATCAGGGAGGCCGCGTGCCTTCCAGTACTCGGCCTCGTCGATGAGCTTCTGCAGGAAGAGGTCGAGCAAGAGGTGGGGCCCGACCCCACCGCCTCCACTCCCCAGCAGCTCTGAGCGACGGTCACTCAGCCACGTCCACACGGCACCTCCACTCGAGGCCATCTTCTCTTGGATCATCTCCACGGCGTCTCTCACCTGCGACACGGCCACTGTTAGGACGTGGACTCTACAATGGAACTTGCAAGCACAGGGCCCTGAGTTCAACTCCCACCTGTGGTGGAGTCAGCCCACTGCCTTTTGTCCAGGGCTGGCTACAGTAGAGATGTGCACAGACACAGACATTGAGTTACTCTGCAAGAATCTGATGAGCTGTGAATCTCTTTATCACCGGTATCCAGCCCAAGCTGATCTGCAGAGGTGGAAAATGATAGGATGTAAAGCCAGCTAAACAATCAAGTAAACTCTAACAAAGCAACTGATTCATATAGTAAAAAGTTAACAGCAATAGTATCAAGATTATGCCAATAATTGATAAATTATACTTGCAAGTCAAGATTGTTGTGTATTTGTAACTCCCAGGGTTTGTCAATAAATCTTTATTTTACGAGCCAATATCGCCCTCAACAAAGTAGGCATCATTGCACATTACAGCGGAACGGCGAAGGTACCGGGGGACACGGGGCAACAGCAATGAGGAAAGAAACCCGTTACACCCTCAGTGGCTGAGCAAAGTAGATTGCAAATTGGAGAGGCTGTTCCAAGGAACATGGAATTTCCAACATGGGCTCAGGCCTGTAGCGATATGCTTTAAATCAATCAGGAAAACACTTTTATATTTTTTATTTCATTATTCCTCGCAACTTGATGTGTTTACACTGACAGATACTCTGCAGCTGAAACTACGTCGCTGTAGGAGAATGAGTCATTGACATTGGGTTCACTGTTCAAACTACGGTTGTCAGAGAGTGATTTAGTCTGACGGTGCTGTCGGAGTGTCACCTGTGGTTCCTCTGTGGGTGCCTCTTGGTGAGTCTCCTCTTGCAGCGGTTGCAGCTCCACATCGGTCACCCCTGTTTGGGTAGTAAAATACAACGCTCATCATACAGCTCAGCACGTCGGCTTCACACAGCGACGCGCTTCCGCTACTACGCGCTTCTTCTATTAGGCAACGCTCATCACACAACCCAGAACGCACGCCATTATAACACGGACCATGCACCATTCTAACACGGACCATGCACCGTTATAACACGGACCATGCACCGTTATAACACGGCCCATGCACCGTTATAACACGGACCATGCACCGTTATAACACGGACCATGCACCGTTATAACACGGACCATGCACCATTCTAACACGGACCATGCACCATTATAACGCAGTGTCTGAGCAATTGATGACGAACTACTTCATTGAGCTGCCTGGCTGAGTGGTGCAGTGATGCGATAAGCGGAGTGATACACTAACGCATTGGCGGCATAGCCTCCGTTACTAGTCCCTCCATCTCACTGCGTGGTGTGCGTAGTAGTTCATCGTATCTCGCCACACTTCATCATTAACGCGTTTTTCACTTCATGCAGAACCTCTTCAGGAACGCATCCACTGCTACTTGCGCGTTAAACGAGGACTCGCTGTATTCCAGCGTGACATTCACACAAACTTGTAAACTATTAAACCTTCAAGCACAAATTAGCCGCTGTCCCCATCCGTTGCAAGATTGTACAATTGCCGTGCGTTTCTGCGCTGGCAATTCTGAAGCTGTGCACGTTACCTCTCTGCTGTGTGGAATTTGGTGCCCGCGATCATCCACGCGCTCTGCTCGCTCGCTCGCTCGTCAGAATCGTTTCCCAAACAAGCAAAGAAAACGCCCTGTGGAGCATCTCCGAATCTGTTCATCCTTCCACATCCAGCGAGCCTCAGCCGTTTCGCCTCGACATCGGTGACAGTGGCTGGGACTAATCTGTCCATGAGTGTTCATTATTACATTCTAATTGTAAATATCTGGTTCATTATTATATCGTAGTGTGGATGTATGTTGAACATCTTTTGCACCATACATTACCAACCATTCTAACCGGACGCGCGAGTGGTAATTAAAGTCAGATTTGAATGTAGTAATGTGTGTATTTAATTATTTACACCATACAGGACACCCCCTAGAACTGTAAACGCTCTCACTAACCCTAATTATTCCATCATCGAGAGATGTTATTGCAAGAACCATCGTCCCATACTCACTCGAGTGGGAAGGCACTTTAACTTGAAGCTTCTTAATATCACAGAACGTAGGGAGACTCGGATGAATGAAGGTTTATGTCAAATTATTAACACGGGGGACCAATGGATGCATTGCGATCCACGAGAGGACGACTCACCACCTGCATGTGGACGCTTTTTAGATCTCTTTATCCAATAGACGAGGCCGGCAAATCCACCCAGCGTAGCGATCATGACGATGACGACAGCCCCAATCCAACCCCTTGAGCCTACAACACAAACAAGCCCACTGTTTATATACACACACACATGAAGTATAAATTACAAAAAGGAGTGACTGGCGCTTGGAACATTTCATTTCCAACACGGGCTCAGGCCCGCAGCAAACATGCTCTTTCTATAAAGTCACGTAGAAGGGAAACAATAAAATAATAAAAATATCAAACAATATTAATCTTCTTTGGTTCTTTCGGTAAAGTCACGTAGAATGAGAATAAAATAATAAATTGATAAAAATAAAATAAGAACCAAAGAAGATGAATCATTAAAGTCACGAAAGCTTTAAATCGAAAAATCAAACAATATTGTTTAATATTTTTATTATTTTATTGACTTTACCGAAAGAACCAAGAATATGAATCCCTGCAGTCACGAAAGCTTTAAATCAAAATGCATGCTCTTTCCAATTACATTTTTGCAGTTTGACGCGCTAAAATTCTCCTCTCCGTGCTGACGAGTAGTGCTGTGAGAGCGCTGCATCCGCTGGAAGGTCTGAATGAACCGACTCTGAGAACGATTGATTTACCATGTTTCTTTAGTGCGTTAACGCAACAGACTCAACATGCACAACGGCACAACGCAGGTGTTCACGCACTGCCGCGTGCATCTAGAGGACCACCAATGACGCCGGTTAAATCGATGACTCTAGCGCAAGATTTATTGATGTTTCTGTCACACGGCAGCTTCACATAAAAGCTCACAGGCGTAAACAAGATGACAAATCTGAAGCTTCTCCCAGCAGCCTATCCATGCTGTTGGAGCAAGTCCTAGCAGTGAGCACCTTTGAAGGCCAGCACGGCACTTGAGCAGGTGGTGAAGCCAGCACCACCCACGCCCCCCATTACTACTGTTTATACATTCACCCGGTACTCAGTTAAGGCTGAGTCGACGTAGCGCAGGCACAGAACTGGTTCAGATAATCGCCACTGATTTTAGCTGTGGCTGGGAAGTGAACCCAAGATCTCCAGGTTCAAAGCACAGTGGGCAAACCACCGCACTACCGCTTCCAATATGCAACCTAAATTTAAACACGAACACACGATGTATACAATGCAACTTGTGTCTGACCTGTGATTTCCTCACAAAGCAGGGACTGGCTTGCTCTTTGTAGTCCCTCTGGGCACGTGCACACCGTGTCGTGAACGGTGGTGCAAGGACGCTCGAAAATCTCATCTGCAAGAATATACCAAGACACACGCCAATCGCCAAACAATCAGCACCACGAGTTGTAACAATCTGTAAGTTTTGCATTTAAATATAGGTTTGCGTTCATTTTTATACTTGGGACTCCATTTCCTCCACAGGACCCTAATATCCCTAATTGTGACTCGGTTTGGCTATTCGAGGTGCCGGCATTATTTCCACGTCATTATAAGAATCGTGGATTTACCTTGACGTAGCTTTGGCAGCTCGTTTAGACCCATATGTGCATTGGGTAAAGTGGAAGATTTTCGTTGTGAACCACCCATCATTCGGTCAAACATTTGGCTTAATGTGACTTTTCTGGGACAACAACAAAAGGAAAATGAAAAGTGTGGCGGTTGTTGTTCGAAGAAATGGGAAGAACCGAAAGAGAGGAAGACATAACTGAGAATGGCTTGACGATTACATCAGAGATTGGTGCCAGAAAGATGTGGCCACTACTTGAGCTTATTGGCACTACAAGACGGAAGAAAGTGGAAAAACATGAAGAAATGTGCAGTGGACACCTACTATGGGCTATCCCACCATGGATCGTGATGGCGATGATTCTGCTACCCGAGTACAGAAAGTACGCATACATCCCACTAGGTAGCCATTGGTGTAGGCTCTGAAACTTAGTGCAACACGCACGTGGTGAACTACTCGCTATAACGTGAGTCTAGTGTGGGATGTACTACTCACTATAACGTGAGTCTAGTGTGGGATAGACTACTCACTATAACGTGAGTCTAGTGTGGGATGGACTACTCACTATAACGTGAGTCTAGTGTGGGATGGACTACTCACTATAACGTGTTTCTAGTGTGGGATAGACTACTCACTATAACGTGAGTCTAGTGTGGGATGGACTACTCACTATAACATGTTTCTAGTGTGGGATGGACTACTCACTATAACGTGAGTCTAGTGTGGGATGGACTACTCACTATAACGTGAGTCTAGTGTGGGATGTACTACTCACTATAACGTGAGTCTAGTGTTGGATGGACTACTCACTATAACGTGAGTCTAGTGTGGGATAGACTACTCACTATAACGTGAGTCTAGTGTGGGATGTACTACTCGCTATAACGTGAGTCTAGTGTGGGATGTACTACCCACTATAACGTGAGTCTAGTGTGGGATGTACTACTCACTATAACGTGAGTCTAGTGTGGGATGTACTACTCATTATAACGTGAGTCTAGTGTGGGATGTACTACTCACTATAACTTGAGTCTAGTGTGGGATGTACTACTCACTATAACGTCAGTCTAGTGAAAGATGGACTACTCACTATAACGTGAGTCTAGTGTGGGATGTACTACTCACTATAACGTGAGTCTAGTGTGGGATAGACTACTCACTATAACCTGAGTCTAGTGTGGGATGGACTACTCACTATAACGCAAATAAACGAGCAGAATGATAAAGCTGGTTTAGTCTGTTTTGTGTTTCATGAGTAGCTGATTTTTAAGCCGCGCCACAGTAGTCAAAAAGTGGTAGAATGATCGCTTCAATAAATTGCAGGCACAATTTAATAAGAATCAAATGTTTGTTTCTGTATAAAACCCCTATTTTGGATTTGATTTACTTTGAGATGTGATCAAGTAATGTGAGATTGGATTTTAAGCAAAGGTTACAATGGTGGGTCCTGTATAGTACATCCAATGCAAATAAACGAGTAGAATAATAAAGTTTTAGCGGACCTAGGGGAGGCCTCGAACCAGATCAGACATTCGTCACTCACGTAGGCCATGAGCAGGTTCGTAGCGCGCTGCACTAAACGCTATGTCACCGCTCCCCACATATTTGTCCATCGTCAGTGTTTTATGCTACAACAAAGGCACCTTCAGAGATGGGAGTCAATGACCAGGGAATGTACTGACACCACCACTGCTGGGAATACGGCACCATGGGTGGGTGAGTTGAATAATAAAAACAAATACTTTGCTCTTCGCAGACTTTGCATGCTTTGCAGCTGGTCAGGTTGTTTGCCGAGACTGTGAATGATTCTCCATCGGCACATGACAGGCAGACCGGAAACTCTCCATCAGATCTGCAATCTTCATCCTTAGACGTTCCTGTTGCGTGAACACATTGTTATTTTTCTATATTGGAAACTCACAGTGACAGCAATGGCAAGGGAAACCGATTAAGGGTTTAGAATGTACAGTTGATCATCGATTAACCAGCGTGCGATTACTCGAAAGATGTAACCAGTCCAGCGATCGGCACCGTGTGCGTGTGACCACAAAAGTAGCTATGCTTGATTTCAGTGTCAAGTATTATATACAGCACATCAATACACGCGATACAATTTAAACAATGAAAATACCGCGCGTTTTTACCTTTCTCATAGCTACGCTAATAAAGCAGATAATATAAAGTGCGATCCGGCGAAAAGTGCGCGTGTAATTTGGCGTTCGCACTAGTCCGGTGATTTTTAAACGCATCCTGTTTTAGAAACAAGAGCGTAGTAATAATTTGTACTTACGTAGTGGGGTCAAAACAGGGATGAAACTTATCTGAGGCAACACGGGTTTATTTTACCAATTAACAGTAAACAAAGAGGGGTACGGCCCCTCACACACGACACACTATGGAGAGTGTGCCCTCCAGTCTAATACGCCTCTTACTGGCTAATCTACAAGTCCTCCCCGAGTGAAGCTGGAACCTTCACTGGTAAATAAGCTGGAGCTGACCCTTGCCAGGGGTACGGCTCTGCCCTCGGGACTCTTCAGTCTCCAGGAGGTTTCGACGACTCCCCGGACCGTCCAGAGGTCCGGCTTTTATACCGAGCCGTGGCTCACTCCGCCCCGGCCACGCCTTCCTTCTTGAACCCTCGAGAAGGATCCGGGGATGACGTCATCCCCCAGCCGCCCTCCTGGGGTCTGCCCCTCTTGCACACCGCTCCATAGGGTAACCGTTGGACCAAATGGCACAGAGACTCTCAGCACTGGGCTCAGCCCCTCTGTTGCCCCCTATTGACACGAGGCCGGCATTGCCGGCTACCGCATGACAACGGCGCATCTTGGCCCAATAACACCGTGACACTTATATACTTTATTTATACTTGCTTATAGTGACTTGCTTACCTCTACTTTGCACTGCTATCGTATTGTGGTTGTTGCTGTAACTTTGTGACACCCCCCCCCAGCCCCGACTGGACATCGGTGAAGGAATCTGTTGAGCTTCATAAGCTCAACAGATTCCTCCTCCTGCAGTCTAAATAAAGATTCTGATTCTAAATTGAGTTGGGTTGTATCAGGATGAACCGAACCAAGAAGAATGGAGTTTCCAAAGCAGAGTCACACGAGGAGAGAGTGTGGTCAGGGCAGGAATATGACAATGCAAGTTACGTCAGGTGTGTGTGTGTGCTCCTTGTGTGTGTCTTTGTGTGTCTGATTGTGTGTCATTTGTGCGTCTCTTTGTGTTTGTGCAATTGTGGTGACTCATTGCGCACCCTTGCGACAAGCAAGCCAAAATCAGTACTCAATGTGAGTGGAAAAGTAACTTTTTCTATTCATGTTACTAATTTTATGTTTAATGTACTATACAGTTTTTATATTCTTGGTTCTTTCGGTAAAGTCACGTTGAAGGGATACAATAAACAATATATATTTTTATTTTATTGTTTCCCTTCTACGTGACTTTACCGAAAGAACCAAGAATATGAATCCCTGCAGTCACGAAAGCTTTAAATCAAAATGTATACAGTTTTTGTTATTGAACTGTAACATATTTTATAACACTGACCGCATGGGAATTCATGAACTAATTATGGCGGTAAGTCGATGATTGTCCAATTAGTTGCTTCGTTACCTGAGGGGCACAGCTGGCAGCAGATGTTGGTCTCGGTTCTGTACCTTCCAGGGGGACAGCCATCTTGATTGCCGTCTGCAGAAAGTGGGAACATCTGCACACACACAGCACGTTAACTCACTCACAGTCACACGTGTAGCACGTTAACTCACTCACACTCACACGTGTACCACGTTAACTCACTCACACGTGTAGCACGTTAACTCACTCACAGTCACACGTGAACCACGTTAACTCACTCACACGTGTAGCACGTTAACTCACTCACATTCACACGTGTACCACGTTAACTCACTCACACGTGTAGCACGTTAACTTACTCCCACGTGTACCACGTGAACTCACTCACACTCACACGTGTAGGACGTTAACTCACACGTGAACCACGTTAACTCACTCACACGTGTACCACGTTAACTCACTCACACTCACACGTGTACCACGTTAATTCACTCACACGTATAGCACGTTAACTCACTCACTCACACGTGTACCACGTTCACTCACTCACACGTGTAGCACGTTAACTCACTCACTCACACGTGTACCACGTTAACTCACTCACACGTGTAGCACGTTAACTCACTCACACGTGTACCACGTTAACTCACTCACACGTGTACCACGTTAACTCACTCACTCACACGTGTACCACGTTAACTCACTCACACGTGTACCACGTTAACTCACTCACACTCACACGTGTAGCATGTTAACTCACTCACACTCACACGTATAGAACGTTAACTCACACTCACACGTGTACCACGTTAACTCACTCACACTCACACGTGAACCACGTTAACTCACTCACACTCACACGTGTACCACGTTAACTCACTCACACGTGTACCACGTTAACTCACTCACACGTATAGCACGTTATCTCACTCACACGTGTACCACGTTAACTTACTCCCACGTGTACCACGTGAACTCACTCACACTCATACGTGTAGGACGTTAACTCACACTCACACGTGTACCACGTTAACTCACTCACACTCACACGTGTACCACGTTAACTCACTCACACTCACACGTGTAGCACGTTAACTCACACATGAACCACGTTAACTCACTCACACTTACACGTGTACCACGTTAACTCACTCACACGTGTACCACGTTAACTCACTCACACGTGTACCACGTTATCTTACTCACACGTGTACTACGTTAGCTCACTCACACTCGCACGTGTACCACGTTAACTCACACTCACGTGTACCACGTTAACTCACTCACACGTGTACCACGTTAACTAACTCACACGTGTACCACGTTAACTCACTTACACTCACACGTGTACAACGTTAACTCACTCACACGTGTGCCACGTTAACTCACTCACACTCACACGTGTAGCACGTCAACTCACTTACACGTGTACCACGTGAACTCACTCACACGTGTACAACGTTAACTAACTCACACTCACACGTGTACCACGTTAACTCACTCACACTCACACGTGTACAACGTTAACTCTCTTACACTCACACGTATACCACGTTAACTCACACTCACACGTGAACCACGTTAACTCACACGTGTAGCACGTTAACGCACACTCACACGTGTACCACGTTAACTCACACATGTACCACGTTAACACACACGTGAACCATGTTAACTCACTCACACTCACACGTGTGCCACGTTAACTCTCTTACACTCGCACGTGTAATACGTTAACACACTCAGACGTGTACCACGTTAAATCACTCACACTTACACGTGTACCACGTTAACTCACGCACACTCACACGTGTACCACGTTAACTCACTCACACGTGTACCACGTTAACTCACTCACACGTGTACCACGTTAACTCACATTCACACGTGTACCACGTTAACTCACACTCACACGTGCACCACCTTAACTTACACTCACACGTGTACCACGTTAACTCACTCACACGTGTACCACGTTAACACACTCACACGTGTACCACGTTAACTCACTCACACGTGTACCACGTTAACTCACACTCACACGTGTACCACGTTAACACACTGACACTCACACGTGTACCACGTTAACTCATTCACACTCGAACCACGTTAACTCACTCACACTCACACGTGTACCATGTTAACTTTCTTACACTCACACGTGTACCACGTCAACTCACTCACACTCACACGTGTACCACGTTAATTCACTCTCACACGTGTAGCACGTTAACTCACTCACACTCACACGTGTAGCACGTTAACTCACACTCACACGTGTACCACGTTAACTCACTCACACTCACACGTGTAGCACGTTAACTCACACTCACACGTGTACCACGTTAACTCACTCAAACTCACACTCACACGTGTACTACGTTAACTTACTCCCACGTGTACCACGTGAACTCACTCACACTCACACGTGTACCACGTTAACTCACTCACACTCACACGTGTAGCACGTTAACTCACACGTGAACCACGTTAACTCACTCACACTCACACGTGTACCACGTTAACTCACTCACACGTGTACCACGTTAACTTACTCCCACGTGTACCACGTGAACTCACTCACACGTGTAGGACGTTAACTCACACTCACACGTGTACCACGTTAACTCACTCACACTCACACGTGTACCACGTTAACTCACTCACACTCACACGTGTAGCACGTTAACTCACACGTGAACCACGTTAACTCACTCACACGTGTACCACGTTAACTCACTCACACGTGTACCACGTTATCTCACTCACACGTGTACCACGTTAGCTCACTCACACTCGCACGTGTACCACGTTAACTCACTCACACGTATACCACGTTAACTCACTCACACTCACACGTGTGCCACGTTAACTCTCTTACACTCGCACGTGTAATACGTTAACACACTCAGACGTGTACCACGTTAAATCACTCACACTTACACGTGTACCACGTTAACTCACGCACACTCACACGTGTACCACGTTAACTCACTCACACGTGTACCACGTTAACTCACTCACACGTGTACCACGTTAACTCACACTCACACGTGTACCACGTTAACTCACACTCACACGTGCACCACCTTAACTTACACTCACACGTGTACCACGTTAACTCACTCACACGTGTACCACGTTAACACACTCACACGTGTACCACGTTAACTCACTCCTACTCACACGTGTGCCACGTTAACTCTCTTACACTCGCACGTGTAATACGTTAACACACTCAGACGTGTACCACGTTAAATCACTCACACTTACACGTGTACCACGTTAACTCACGCACACTCACACGTGAACCACGTTAACTCACTCACACGTGTACCACGTTAACTCACTCACACGTGTACCACGTTAACTCACACTCACACGTGTACCACGTTAACTCACACTCACACGTGCACCACCTTAACTTACACTCACACGTGTACCACGTTAACTCACTCACACGTGTACCACGTTAACACACTCACACGTGTACCACGTTAACTCACTCACACGTGTACCACGTTAACTCACACTCACACGTGTACCACGTTAACACACTGACACTCACACGTGTACCACGTTAACTCATTCACACTCGAACCACGTTAACTCACTCACACTCACACGTGTACCATGTTAACTTTCTTACACTCACACGTGTACCACGTCAACTCACTCACACTCACACGTGTACCACGTTAATTCACTCTCACACGTGTAGCACGTTAACTCACTCACACTCACACGTGTAGCACGTTAACTCACACTCACACGTGTACCACGTTAACTCACTCACACTCACACGTGTAGCACGTTAACTCACACTCACACGTGTACCACGTTAACTCACTCAAACTCACACTCACACGTGTACTACGTTAACTTACTCCCACGTGTACCACGTGAACTCACTCACACTCACACGTGTACCACGTTAACTCACTCACACTCACACGTGTAGCACGTTAACTCACACGTGAACCACGTTTACTCACTCACACTCACACGTGTACCACGTTAACTCACTCACACGTGTACCACGTTAACTTACTCCCACGTGTACCACGTGAACTCACTCACACGTGTAGGACGTTAACTCACACTCACACGTGTACCACGTTAACTCACTCACACTCACACGTGTACCACGTTAACTCACTCACACTCACACGTGTAGCACGTTAACTCACGTGAACCACATTAACTCACTCACACTCACACGTGTACCACGTTAACTCACTCACACGTGTACCACGTTAACTCACTCACACGTGTACCACGTTATCTCACTCACACGTGTACCACGTGAACTCACTCACACTCGCACGTGTACCACGTTAACTCACACGTGAACCACGTTAGCTCACTCACACTCGCACGTGTACCACGTTAACTCACACTCACGTGTACCACGTTAACTCACTCACACGTGTACCACGTGAACTCACTCACACGTGTACCACGTTAACTAACTCACACTCACACGTGTACCACGTTAACTCACTTACACTCACACGTGTACCACGTTAACTCACTCACACGTGTACCACGTTAACCCACTCACACTCACACGTGTACCACGTTAACTTACACTCACACTTACACGTGTACCACGTTAACTCACTCATACTCACCCGTGTATCACGTTAACTCTCTTACACTCACACGTGTAGCACGTTAACTCACACTCACACGTGTACCACGTTAATTCTCTTACACTCACACGTGTAACACGTTAACACACTCACACTCACACGTGTACCACGTTAACTCACTCACACTTACACGTGTACCACGTTAACTCACTCACACTCACACGTGTACCACGTTAACTCACACTCACACGTGTACCACGTTAACTCACACTCACACGTGCACCACCTTAACTTACACTCACACTCACACGTGTACCACGTTAACTCACTCACACGTGTACCACGTTAACTAACTCACACTCACACGTGTACCACGTTAACTCACACGTGTACCACGTTATCTCACTCACACGTGTACCACGTTAACTTACTCCCACGTGAACTCACTCATACTCACACGTGTAGGACGTTAACTCACACTCACACGTGTACCACATTAACTCACTCACACGTGTACCACGTTAACTCACTCACACTCACACGTGTAGCACGTTAACTCACGTGAACCACGTTAACTCACTCACACTCACACGTGTACCACGTTAACTCACTCACACGTGTACCACGTTAACTCACTCACACGTGTACCACGTTATCTCACTCATACGTGTACCACGTGAACTCACTCACACTCGCACGTGTACCACGTTAACTCACACGTGAACCACGTTAGCTCACTCACACTCGCACGTGTACCACGTTAACTCACACTCACGTGTACCACGTTAACTCACTCACTCACACATGTACCACGTGAACTCACTCACACGTGTACCACGTTAACTAACTCACACTCACGTGTACCACGTTAACTCACTTACACTCACACGTGTACCACGATAACTCACTCACACGTGTACCACGTTAACCCACTCACACTCACACGTGTACCACGTTAACTTACACTCACACTTACACGTGTACCACGTTAACTCACTCATACTCACACGTGTATCGCGTTAACTCTCTTACACTCACACGTATACCACGTTAACTCACACTCACACGTGAACCACGTTAACTCACACGTGTAGCACGTTAACTCACACTCACACGTGTACCACGTTAACACACTCACACGTGTACCACGTTAATTCTCTTACACTCACACGTGTAACACGTTAACACACTCACACTCACACGTGTACCACGTTAACTCACTCACACTCACACGTGTACCACGTTAACTCACACTCACACGTGCACCACCTTAACTTACACTCACACTCACACGTGTACCACGTTAACTCACTCACACGTGTACCACGTTAACTAACTCACACTCACACGTGTACCACGTTAACTCACTTACACTCACACGTTTACCACGTTAACTCTCTTACACTCACACGTGTAACACGTTAACACACTCACACTCACACGTGTACCACGTCAACTCACTCACACGTGTACCACGTTAATTTACTCACACTTACACGTGTACCACGTTAACTCACTCATACTCACACGAGTACCATGTTAACTTACACTCACACGTGTACCACGTTAACTCACTTATACAGTCGACCCTTCTGCATCGCAACTTTCCCCACCGTGGTGTCGATATATCGCGGGATCGGTGTAAGAAATTAAATGGAATTTTCTGGGGATTTTTTGGGAGTTTTCCGAAAGCCGCAGACGACACACAAAACGTTTAGTAACTCACAAATGCATAAAACATATGTATAGTACCGTATAACATTAATGTATTTTATCTTTTAATACCATAGAAAAACGCAATTTCTATTTTAAAGTTACATTTTGTAAAAAAAGTTAGTTTGCGAAAAGAACTGTTTGGAGGACGGCAATCACGTGAGATCTCGCAGTGATCTTTCTATCTTGCGTTTGTCGAATATTTTTGTGCCGATTTAGTGCCCTAAACTGTGCTAACAAAAATTCACGCGGGGGGGGGGGGGGGGGCCTGCGCCCCTAACCCCGTATTGGGGCAAGTGCTGTGAGCGTTCATGTATTCAGGCCGGTACAACACACAACGTAGGTGGGTGGCCAGGACCACGCTCGACCGCTTTTGTATCCCCAGCGGTTCGAATATTCGACACTAATATTGATTATAAACAACACCCGCCATTCACCACTAAGTGGAGGTGACGTCACCACGGCGCTTGTGCCAGGCTAGGTGCACTTTGAGGCCACGTGAAGTGTCAGACACCCACTGGCAGGAGGTCACGGGACAGATCCAGCAGGTGCCATAGGTCGACTGAGATGACCGGTAGATGCACCACCTTTGCCCCTCTACTGTGCCCCCCTACTATGTCAACAATATCCCCCAAGTGGCCTTAGCACTGTAGGGCAAAGTGCTGTTAGCGAGCACCTATGAAGGCCGGCACGGCACATGAGGGGGTGGGTGGTCTGCACCACGGCCGGCCGCCTTTGTCTCCCGAGTGGGGATGTTTACACACCGCACCAGGTACTCATTTGAGGCTGAATCGACCTAAGGGAGGCCCGATTCAGATAATCGTCACTGGTGTTGGCCGTGAGCGGGAATCGAACCCGTATCGCCGGATTCATGGCGCAGCGCGCTAACCGCTACACTATCGCTCCCCACACACACAGACACACACACAGACACACACAGACACACACACATAGACACACACAGACACACACACATAGACACACACAGACACACACACATAGACACACACTGACACACACACACATAGATACACACTGACACACACACGCATAGACACACTGACACACACACACATAGACACACACTGACGCACACACACATAGACACACACTGACACACACACATAGACACACACTGACGCACACACACATAGACACACACTGACACACACACATAGACACACACTGACACACACACATAGACACACACTGACACACACACACGCATAGACACACACTTACACACACACACATAGACACACACTGACGCACACACACATAGACACACACTGACACACACACATAGACACACACACATAGACACACACTGACACACACACATAGACACACACTGACACACACACAGACACACACACACGCATCTTACCAGCATGACTGCGAAGGTTAGGAGTGTGGTGAGCAGGCGGAATGGAGACATGGCCCAGGAGTTGTCCACACAGATGTGTGGATGTGAGCGAGAGGCGATGGACTCCCCTTGAAGTTCTCCCCCCTGACTCAGGACGTGGAGGGTGCGGCTCGGCTCAGTGGACTTTGGCCTTTAAGCTCAATGAAAATGTTTCAGATAATAAAGTTTTTTTGTGGTTAGATTGTGTAACGCGATCTAACCCATATTGGTGTGCTTTAACATCCTTCACTACCCCAATCCCTCAACTCCACCACTCCCACCTGTCATCCCAAGTCACCATAACTCCACCAACACCCTCAACAAGAACCCCACTCTTTAATTCAACCACCATTATCGTATGCACACTTAGAATTATGGTAAATCGTCTTGGACTAAGGCGCCGTTTCAATAAGATATAGAAATAAGAAACCGTAAATAAGCAGAACAATAGGTCTCCTTTCCGTAGATGTTTCTCCATAGGATTAAAAAAAATGTTTTTACACATCCCATCGGCCACACAGCCTTCCAGGGATTTCTTCAGCAGCGTTGCTTTAATGCAGCACCGGTGGACTTGGCTGAGCTGTTCACAGCCGGTTGGTCACGTTGAAGGCGAGAGGGTTGGCGGGGAGTTTATCAACCCCCCATTCGAACTTTGTGGTCAAGTAAAGTATTCGTGTGATTCACTTTTATCAGCGTATGTACTCGCAAAAGTAACATTGGGGGATTTTCTGTTTGATAATCTTCAGCCGACTAACAAGGTTGGCTCTGTACACTGCGAAGTAGGTTCCACATAGGAACTGAGATACAAGGTTCATTCAGGCGAGCCAGTCTCATCCACTTGCTTGGTCACAGCAATGAAATTCATATCCACAGTGAAACCTTTGATCTGCTTGCCACGAGCATCGTATCTGAGTTGCCATGCGATGGCTTTATTATTCACCAAAGGAGGCATCACGAGGATTGGCATTGTTTTCGATGCCAATGCCTTGGTGAATTCTGAACAATTATTACTCCTATACATGTGTAGTGCCGTGAATTCACTCGGACGACAACCGTCTCTTTTTCCGCCGTCACTTTTATTCCATCGTTCCGTACACACAGTGATTCTCTTCGCGTTCCGCCAACTCGGACACTTCGATTTACTTCAGCATCGTCCGTGCATCCCCTTCCACACACAGTGTTTCTTCGCCTATCTCTTCATACACAGTGGTTTCCCTTCCACACACAGTGGTTCGTCTTCTATCTCCTCACACACAGTATCGCCGCTATCTCTTCACACGCAGTGACTTCCCTTCCACACACAGTGGTTCGTCTTCTATCTCCTCACACACAGTATCGCCGCTATCTCTTCACACGCAGTGACTTCCATCTATTCACACACAGTGACTCTATCTATCTCCGCTAACGCTGACTCTCCCTATCGCTATTTACTGTCTTTGGGGTCCGGCTCTCTATCTATTCTTCCCTAACATTTCCAGCTGTCTTCTTCGTATCTCTTCACCTCTCGCCAACAACTGCCCAGCAACAACTCTCCAACACAACTCCCCAGCAGCAACTCTCCAACAGCAACTCCTCTCCGTTCAAACCACCTTGCGTTTTATCCCCTCTTGCATTAGCCTTAATTAATTGCCACGTGGCTCGCTGGTCGTTTCCCGCCAGCCCGCACCTGTCCCCTTCATCAGACATTCAGACGCCACCACTTAACGCTAACAGCCTCTCGACCAATCACAGCCCTCGTGCCACGACTCCCTTAATTACTTGGGTTTGTTTACGCCACTCGCGACTCGACCACCTGTTCGACCTCGTGTGAACCGTTCTCCTTGTCTGTCTGTATGTACTGTATATGGCCAATTCCTATGCGCATTATCCACTCCACTACATCACCCCCCCCCCCCCCCCCCCCCCCCGTGATGAAAGAACCTAGCCGTCCCCGGCTACGATATACTCGACTTGGAGTAATGGAGTGAAGCAGACGGAACGATGACAACATATATACATAACGTATTTGCAATATACAACCATTTTGTACAATCATGCAACGACAGGCACATAACACCTTTATACAGAATTCCCAACCCCCAAAGTCAATGTATTGTATTCCTCCTGGAACAGGTTCCCGCTGCCGGTCCATCTCCCCTGCACGGGATACCCTGCGGCAAGGGAGGGCCTCGCTCGTCTTGCCAATGAACCCTACGCCCATCCCTGTCCCAGCGACACTCAGCTGGCGGGGCTGTCCGTCGTTCCCGGTCGGGACGGCCATTGGACCGGATCTGTGGCCGTTCAATCGGCGTCCGGTCAGTAACCCTGCCCAAAAAGGGCGATCCTGCAGGCACACGGGGGGCAGATCTCTGGGACACGCGCACTTGTGACCTCCCCACAGGTTCGTCGGACACATCCAAAACAGGCCGCTCTCGGATGGGGGATGACGCATCATATGGTAGCACAAATTTATTCAGGCGCGACGGGTGAACAAACCATGTCCGACGACACTCTGATCCCGTAAAACCTCCACAATATCAACGGGCCCCTGCCAGGGGCGGTGAAATTTCGGGGACGTTCCCACCGGCACCATGGGGCAGTGTAACCAGGCTTTATCTCCAACACTTCATTGCTCTCGTGGCCGCTGCCTGCCGAACAATCTTTCGTTAGCGGCTTGTCGTCGTGCCGTATTTTGCAATGCAGCCTCTCGGGCTTCCCTTAGACGGTCCAAAGCCACCTGCATCGGAGCAGGCACCGTCGTAGATTTCTCCCGTTTTCGAATTCCCAATTTCACAATAGCCGGCGCATCCGGTTCCCGTCCATACATCAGAAAAAATGGCGAGTACCCCGTTGAGGCATGCGGGGCCAATCTAGACGCGGCCAGCATCGCTGCAACATGCAGATCCCAATCATCTTGAGCGGTGTTTACTTGGTGACAAAGCATGGACGTCAGCGTCCTATGCAGCCGCTCGACCATGCCGTCAGTCTGCGGGTGGTATGGGGACGTCCGAATCTTTTTGTTCCCCAGCGAGTCACACACGTCCTTAATCAATTTCGATAAAAAATTTCTGCCTTGGTCAGTAAGCAAATGTTCCGGGGCCCCCTTATCTAATACATATCCATTCAAGAAAGCCTCAGCGATCGATGTCGCTGACTGGTCTACTAGCGGCCATGCCATCGGCCAACGAGTTAAGTATTCCACCCCAACGAGCAAATATCTGTGCCCTCGGGGGGTGACGGGAAACGGACCCAAAATATCCAGTGCCACAATTTCGTTCACTCTCGAAACTTGAATCGATTGCAAAGGGACACGATATGGCCGTGCACATTTCCTCCGTGCACATTCCTGGCACGCTTTTACATGCTGTTTCACATCGTTAAACATTCCCGGCCAGTAAAATTCACTCCCCACCGTCAACACGGTCTTCTTCTCCCCCAGATGCAGCAATTTCTCATGTACCTCGTTAATCAGTTTCCCCTGCAACACCTTCGGGACAACAATACAAAATGTTTGTGCTTCCACATCCCAGCGAACAAGCAACCCCTCTGTTAACATCAAAAATGGGCGATCCTTCGATCCCCTTGAACGAGAGGCACGCAGCCTCATCCTGGTCAGCGAGGAATCCTCCACCTGCAGTTGCTTCCACTGCTTCAATGACAACCCCAACAGTCCAATTTCTGCTCCAGGGACTATCCCTGGCACCCCCGAACCCGCTGCAGCGACCGTTTGCGGAACCTCCTGCAGCGGCGGGCCGCAACGCAGCGAGCCCTCTTTGCACCGACACGTCTCAGCCGGTCGCAGCAACCTCGACAAAGCATCCGCGTTTACATGGTGCGTCCCTTTCCTATGCTGGATCGTGAAAGAGTACTCCTGGAGGGTCTCAATCCAGCGAGCCATTTGCCCCGATGGCTGATCCACGCGCAGCGAGTACTGTAGCGCCGCGTGATCAGTGCGGATCAAAAATTCCCTGCCGTATAGATACGGTCGGTACTGGCGCACAAAATGGACAATTGCCAATAATTCCCTACGCGTCACACAGTATTTTTGCTCCGCCGGCGATAACACCCGGCTGCCATATGCCACCACTCTCTCGACGCCATCAACCATTTGTGACAAAACCGCGTCTATGCCCGTATCACAGGCATCCGTGTCAAGTATAAACTGCTTCGTAAAATCCGGGTATCCCAACGGCGGTGCGTCCGCCAGTGCGGCCCGCAACACTTCAAACGATTTTTGTTCAGCAATCCCCCATTGAAACTTTACACCTTTCCCGGTCAGCGTATGCAATGGTCGAGCAATCGTGGCAAAATCCTTAACGAACCGCCGATAATACGACGCAAAGCCCACAAAGCTACGCACTTCCCCTGCTGTTTTCGGCACTGGCCATGTACGCACACAACTCGTCTTTTCCGGATCAGTGGCCACTCCTGACGCACTAACGACGTGCCCCAAATACTTCACCGATGTTCTCAACAATTGGCACTTCTGTGGTTTAAATTTCAATCCAGCGCGCCGCACTCTGCCAAAAACGGCGCGCAGCCATTGCAAATGTTCATCGAAATTCCTACTGAAAACAATCACATCATCTAAATATATCAAACATGACTCCCACTGCAGGCCCGACAACACGAGTTCCATTAATTGCTGGAAGGTCGCCGGCGCTGAGTGGAGTCCCATCGGGAGCACGTTAAATTGATACAATCCTTGTGGTGTCCGAAATGCCGTTTTAGGTCTTGACTCTTTATCCAGGGGCAATTGCCAAAAGCCCGACAACAAATCGAGGGTTGAAAAGATTCTGGCGCCGGACAGGGCGTCCAGCGAATCATCAATTCGTGGAAGCGGGTACGCTTCCGCCACCGAAACTTTATTCAATTTCCGATAGTCAACACAAAATCGCATGGTTCCATCACGTTTTTTAACGAGGACAATAGGGGCTCCCCACGGGCTGAACGATGGGGCGATAATATCCTGCTCTAGCATTTCATCAACAGATCGCCGAATACATTATTTCTCAAGAGGACCTACACGATGCGAATTTAACCTGATCGGGGGTGCGTTCCCCGTGTCAATCCGATGCTGCAACAACGTCGTTCGACCCACGTCGTGTTTCCCTGAACTCAACACATCCTTAAATTCCACTAGCAACGCATGCAACCTCGACCGTTGCACAGGCGATAACTCTGGGTTTTGTTCGTAAAGATCCCTTAACCATTCCGGATCGTCCTCCTCCCTTGACAACATTTCATCCTGCCCCGTAGCAAAACA